TCAGCTGGCCCCTAAACAAATAAGTATACTAGTTCAGTGATAATGGACGTCATACTAAACTCCAAATTATACACAGGAAACTAAAATTAAAAATGATACAAGACTAACAAAGGCCAGAGGCTCCTGACATGGGACAGGCGCGAAAATGCGGCGGGGTTAAACATGTTTTTTGAAATCTCAACCCTCCCCCTATACCTCTAGCCAATGTAGAAAAACAAACGCACAATAGTACGCACAGTAAAACTCAGTATAAGAGAAGTACGAGTCCGATGTCAGAATAGGAAACAAAAGAAAATAAACAAAATGACAATAATACATAAATAACAACAGACTACTAGCAGTTACTGACATGCCAGCTCCAGACCTCAATTAAACTGATTGAAAGATTATGTCTTCATTATATAAATATCAGGCACAATCCCTCCTGTTAGGGGTTTAGTATTATACCGTCATAAAATATATGAGAAGAACATAACCAGTGTCATGCCAACAACTAGTTTTAGAATAAATGTGTTAATTCCGATGCAAAGACCCTATAAGTGAATCAATATTAAAGACAAAATATGCAATATTTAATGACCTGGCAACAGTATCGTAACTATATCCCTTCTTAAGAAGTCTGTTTAAAAGGTTTTGATAGCTTTGAGGTGAATACTTACATTTTTGTGCTTTGTAAAGAATATTACCATAAAAGATTGGATGTGAAATACCCGAACGTATAAGATGTCTGCAAGTTGAGTTATATTTACGAATGATGTCCTTATACCGATGATAAAATTTAGTAAATGTTTTGACTAGCTTATGATATCGAAAACCCTGGTGTAATAATTTTTCAGTAATACACAAATTTCTCTCGCTAAAATCTAAAACGTTGTTACATACACGAGCGAATCGTACAAGTTGAGATATATAAACACCATAAGATGGTGACAAGGGAACGTCACCATCTAAAAATTGATAATTAACGATAGGAAATGAAAAATCATCTCTTTTATCATAAATTTTTGTATTAATCTTCCCGTTAATGATATAGATATCAAGATCGAGGAAAGGACAGTGGTCATTGTTAGTATTAGCTTTATTTAAAGTAAGTTCAACAGGATAAATTTCTTTAGTATACATACTGAAGTCGTCATTATTGAGAGCCAATATATCATCCAAATATATAAAAGTATTGTTAAATTTTTGTATCAGCTGTTATTTCGATGGGTCTTTGCTGATTTTAGTCATAAAATTGTAACTCATAACAATACAAAAATAGGTCCGCAATAAGTGGTGCACAGTTAGTCCCCATTGGAATTCCGATAACCTGACGATATACGGAATCTCCAAAGCGGACAAAAATGTTATCAAGTAAAAATTCAAGGGCAGATATAGTATCAAAGCATGTCCAATTGACATAGTTCTTTTGTGTGTTGCTACTAAAAAATGACCTAAAAGAGTTTGAACATATGTATTCGCATTCCGACTTTTTAAATGCCCATTTAATTAGGTGTGTGAACTTTTTCTTAATAAGAATATGAGGCAAAGTGGTATATAGGGTAGAAAAATCAAAACTTTGAACAGATTCAAAATCACCAATATATGCATGCAATTTATGAAGTACTTCCAACGAGTTTTTGACACTCCAAAAGTATTTAATTCCACTATTTTCAAAGGCCTTATTTGAACAATTTATTATCAGGTTTTTGATTGTACCAAGTGTACTAGTAAATAGAATAGACAATTTAGTAGTGGAACAATGACTTGAAGACGAAATAAATCTATATTTGTATGGTGATTTGTGTAGCTTCGGAAGCCAGTACATAGTTGGGACTTTCATTGTATTTGGTTCTGCTTGTAAAGAAGTAGCTAATAGTTTATGTTTGTAAAAGATATGTATACTTCCCTATGATGAGTGTTTTTGAGACGAAACGCGCGTCTGGCGTACAAAATTTCAATCCGTGTATCTATGATGAGTTTACTTACAACCACTAGGTCGATGCCACTGCTGCTGGAGTTTTTCTCCGGGAGGGTATCACCAGCCTAGTAGTCAGCACTTCTGTGTTGACATGAATTATTATTGATATGGTCATAATTATGAATTAACTGTTAACAAATCTTAGAATTTTTCGAAATACTAAGGATTTTTCTACCCCAGAAAAAGATTACCTTAGCTGTATTTGGCAAACCTTTTATGACCTTTTGGTCCGCAATACTCTTCAACTTCGTACTTTGTTTGGCCTTTTCAATTATTTTTTTCGAGCGTCACTGATGAGTCTTTTTGAGACGAAACTCGCGTCTGTCGTACAAAATTCCAATCCTGGTATTCATGATGAGTTTACTCCCAGTTCAGACATACTGAGAAGTCTTTAAACATTTACTGTAAAATCTTGTCCTCATATTTCCATACCTTTCGAAGATTTTAAAAAAGGAAAGTACACATGATTCCAGTAGCTGATATGGCTCTAACACCTTATTTCGATTAATTGACCTTTATTTAATAACTTTTTTCTGTCGTTTTCTTCTTTTTTCTTCATGGCGTTGTCAGTTTGTCTTCGACTTCCAAGTTTGAACTTCCCCTATGTATCTTACTCTCCTTGTTTTACTACACACATAACCAGTATACACTCAAAGACATATATACTTTACGATATCCGACAGTTCAATTTTAACTGCTGTTTTAACATTTGTCAAATTAATCATTTATTGTCTTTGTCCAGGATATGAAGTTGTACTTGAAATAACCTGTGGCCAAATATTTACTACACATTAAAATATTACACCATATTATCATATTTGCCACCTTTAATTAATTGATTATTCATTATGATTACAGAAAATCATTGTCTTTGCACCATTTGTTCCGCAAAATTCAAAACAGTCTCATATTGACTAGATAACAAAAGAGAGATGATTGTTATTTTTTATTATGATAACAACTGCAAGGTGCTTATGGTCGAAATTATTTTGAACAGATTTTACTTATCGTTCACACAGCTTAGGGACACTAACATGAATACAAATATTGCTATCATCGTTCAAAACGTTTTGTTAACATAAAAAGTATCAGGTATAGAATAGGACATTTGAATGTATTTACCAGTCTCCTGTTGTCACCTACGTCATATTTGAAAACGTAGGGACTTCACCGTTGTACAGTTTAAAAGTATTGTTGATATTATTTCTTAAGATATCATAAAATACGGAGATGTGGTATGATTTCCAAAAAGACAACTCTCCACATTATAGTTCAAATTGACCTCGATTTCAACAAACTGTAGGTCACCGTATGGTTATTCAACAACTCGTACAGTAAAATCAGCTATAAAAAGCCCCGACGTGACAACATTTAATGCAATTAAAATGAAAAAATAAACAGCCGAACTTGCGACAAAACAATAAACGAAAAACCAATGTGACAGACAGAAACCAACAACAGCAACTTAATTACAATCGTCTTACTTAGGATATGTGCTTAAAGACTGTGATGGGGTTAAACATTTTTGTGAGCACCTGGGACAGAAAGTGTATTAGCATAACTTAAAAACGACCTAAAAAATTCTGTTTAAAAAGGCCGGACTCATCAGACCGGCACTAAGAACACAAACGCAAAAAATGTAAAAAAGTACAATGTACTTCTCTACGAGTACCTCGTTCCGTTTTGAGTATGCGATTCCCTCATTTTTTTACACCTTGATTTGTAAAATAAAATTGAGAATGGAAATGGGGAATGTGTCAAAGAGACAACAACCCGACCATAGAGCAGACAACAGCCGAAGGCCACCAATGGGTCTTCAATGCAGCGAGAAACTCCAGCACCCGGAGGCGTCCTTCAGCTGGCCCCTAAACAAATATGTATACTAGTTCGGTGATAATGGACGTCATACTAAACTCCAAATTATACACAAGAAACTAAAATTAAAAATGATAAAAGACTAACAAAGGCCAGAGGCTCCTGACTTGGGACAGGCGCAAAAATGCGGCGGGGTTAAACATGTTTTTTGAGATCTCAACCCTCCCCTAAACCTCTAGCCAATGTAGAAAAAACAAACGCACAACAGTACGCACAGTAAAACTCAGTTTAAGAGAAGTCCGAGTCCGATGTCAGAATAGGAAACAAAAGAAAATAAACAAAATGACAATAATACATAGATAACAACAGACTACTAGCAGTTACTGACATGCCAGCTCCAGACCTCAATTAAACTGATTGAAAGATTGTGTCTTCGTCATATGAATATCAGGCACAATCCCTCCTGTTAGGGGATTAGTATTATACTAGTATTGTGTCTTCTAAATGCATTTATGAGATTTGAACATCGGTTAACTAATGTTGCATTTTATTCAATGCCAATTTCAAAATAATGGATAAACAATGTTTTTTTCAAGACTAAAAAATTCATCAGTTCACATCCAAAGGATTTAGCCCAAAGACGATATGATTAGTCTGAGAAAAACATTCAATTGTGTTTAACCAAAATATAATGATAGACAGGATGTAGGACCATAAGTTTGTATTACTGTATATCAATACCTACGTACGTATCTAAATTTACGAGCTATATATAAAACATCACCGAAGTAATTTGGATTTAATAATTCCGCTTGTATATATTATAAAAATTTTGTAGTGTTATTTTTGTATATGTTTTCTTTAATTGGACACATTGATATCGATGGTATATCATTTTTGACTCGAGGCGATTTGAAGCTTAGCTTATTGTATATACACGTGATGAAATGCTCAACTTGTGTAATCTGGCGGTGTCTCATTGGTGTATACTACATATCTCCTTTTATGCGCATCTGGTGTAATACAAATGGTACCGTTAATGTTATTATCTAATGTCTATTATCTGTTTAAAGCTAATAACATTCAACAAAACAACGTGATCCCAGACGTCGTATGATTTCTTTCTTATTTTTGTAAATACCTTTCGTACTTCATTTTTGATTTCATGAATTCTTATAGGACGAAGAGTTGTAAGGCCTAAACTTTGGTCTAGTAATTTCAAAAATGATTTGTTAGCAATATTTATTGTTGAATATCAATTGATAGAATTACAAGGTTCACATATTGCTGTAATGAAATCCAATTTGGTATACAGAGGATCATCTTTTCCCTGAAAGTAATGAAAAATATATGAGTTATTATTATATAATTATTCCCGTAGAAAAGACAAGACTTTTTCATGCTGCTGAAATGTAATTCAAGGATATATATTCGTTAATACGATACAAACGTCACTAAATACGTATTGCTATAAATTTTTGAACACTTGTGGTTCTACATCATATATGCGAATGTTTTTGGACATTTCGCACCCTCAGGGTATTACCAGCCCAGTAATCTGCACTTCTGTGCTGACAGGAAATACAATTGTAACTATATCTATCTTACAATTACTATTATGGAATGTTGATTCAATCGAAACACTAAGGGTTTTCTGACTATAAATTGCTTTAGCCAGATTCGGCACATTTTTAACAATGATCTCTAAATTGATTTGGCCTCCTAACTGTTTTGATAGTGGCTCTACTGACTAGTCTGATGTAGACATATCGCGCATCTGGCATATTACTCGTAAATTAAAACCTCGTATTAATGATGATAAAGCCGATGCCAAGTTCACGAACCCTTACAAAGAACTCATCGAATGGGTCCCTGAGTTGCCTATTGCAATACAACATTTTCATCAACATACAACATCCCTTACTTTACAGGAAGTAAAAGTGATAGATTTACTAAGAAAAATCAAAAAGATTCTCTTATTTATAAAGCGGGACACTTTCATTTCCAGTCATGATTACAGATAGCGGTTAGTAACTTTAAGTAAATGTACTTACATATATAACGAAAAGATATTAAATTATCTTACCAACAGGACGATTCATACAAGCTTTTTCAGTACATGCTATACCGCGTTTCTGACAAAAACAAGTATTACATCCGTCAATGGCATCAAAACTCGTTCCCAATTGGTGTATGGTTCCGTGGTAATTGCATGTAGCTGTAGAAAATGATTTGACAATTACATGAGATTTTTTTTCATTTGAATTGGAAATGGACCAACAAGATAACATTCAATAACCTAGTTTTAAATAAAATGTAACAAAAAAATGAAAAGCCTAGACGGAGTTACTGCAAATATAGAAACCTAACAAAAGCATTATTTATTTACTGTGTATTATAAATCCTCTGTTTTCAGTTTTTTTTTGTATATGAGCGTTCTCCATAAAAGCGTTCCGCACACACTGATACTTAAAATTTTCTCTTTTCTTTTTAAGATCAATTTTCTACTTGTAGATTCAGCTTGTTTTCTTTTATCGAATTTCGAATTTCGAATGCATGACATAAAATTAACATATATAGATATAAGAAGATGTGGTATGAGTGCCAATGAGACAAATCTCCATCCAAGTCAAAATTTATAAAAGTAAACCAAAGATAAACAAACTAGATGATGTATATCTACAGTTCATCGAATTACTTAAAGAATGCGCAATTATGAGTTCATGGTCTTTTTTTGTCTAACTTAATACGAAAGAAATGTTTAATGGTTAGAAACTATGCAATATTTTAGTTTATTTCTTAGCTGATTCCAATCTTACTCCTTATTCTGATCGATTGACCTTTATCAGAAAGTTAAATAACTTTTCTATGTTGTTTTGAAGACTGTTATTTGTCTTTCCGTCGTTTTTATTTTTTGTTATTCAATAGCGTTGTCAGTTTGTCTTCGATTTATAAGTTTAAACGTTCCCTTGGTATCGTCCACCCTTTTTCACTGCAGACATACTCTCTACGATATATATACTTATCTTTATTATATCCGACTACTAATTTTTAACTGCAGATAGTAAATATAGACATTTCTCAAATCAGTCCAACATCATTGATTTACTCTGTCCAGGATATACAGTTGGATTTGAAATAACATGAGGACAAATATTAACAACACATTTAAATACTTCACAATAGTATCCTACTTGCCATATTTCATTAATTGATTATTCATTTTTATGACAAATCATTGTCTTTGTTGATGGATTTGGCTATTATTTTTATTCGGTCATGTAGCTCCTCAACTGTTTCGGTTCTTATACATCCTTTGCTTTCAAATGTTCGGCTTTGGGCGTTCCTGATGAAAGTTAATCCAGAAAATGTTTTCAGAAAAATGAAATTTAAAAACAATTTTAGTACCTTGTTCTTTTCAAAGAAATGTTGAACATATTTTACCTACCGTGCACACAGTTAACAGACACTAACATGAATATAAATATTGCTATCATATTTCCAAACTCGTTGTTTACATGAAAGTATCCAGTATAGGGTATGAAATTGAATGTATTTATAGTCCTCCTGTTGTCAGCTACGTCATACCTGAAAACGAAGGGAATTCACCGTTCTGCGGTCTAAAAGTATTATTGATACAATTTCTTAAAATATCATAAATAAGGAGATGTGGTATGAACTATCTACATAACAGTCCAAAGGACATGGATTTAAACAAACTGTAGGTTACCGTATGATAAAATTTAAAACAATTCAAACGAAAAAAAAACTGCCTGAGTTATGACAAACAATTAAAGAAAAACCAATGTGACAGACAGCAATCAACAACAACAACTAAATAACAGGCTTCTTACTTGGGACAGGTATTCTTAAATAATAGGGTTAAACATTTTTTGTGAGCGCCTAACCTTCGCCTCATTTGGGACAGTAGTGTAAAAGCACAAAATAAAACAAGCTATAAAGTTCGATGTGCAAAGGCTGGACTCATCAGACCGGCACTAAGAACAAAAAAACTAACAAATCGGGAAAAAAACCGAATGTACTTCTCTAGGAGTACCTTGTTCCGTTTGAAGTATGCGATTCCATCATTTTTGTTTTGTTTTTTACCTTGATTTGTGTCTACTTAATGCATTTATGAGGTTTAAACATCGGTAAACTCAAAATTCGGTAAATTCAACGCCAATTTCAACTGATGAATAAACAATGTTTTATCAAGACTAAAATATCAATCAGTTCACATCCAAAGGATTTATCTTAAAGATGTCATAAGCAATCTAAGAAAAGCATTCAACTGCGTTTAACCAAAATATAATGATCAACAGGATGTAGGACCATAAGTGCTTATCATTGCATATCATTACATTTGTATCTAAATTAACGGGCTATACAAACAACACCACCGCAGTAATTTGGATGCGATATTCCGTTTGTATATATAAATGATTTTTTGTAGTTTTATTTGTTGTTTTCGTTATTTGGATATTTTGGTATTGAAGGTATATCTGTTTTTGACTCGAGGCGATTTGAAGCTTAGCTTATTGTATATACACTTGTTGAGCTCTAGATGTCTATTTAAGAAATTTCTGTTCTTGATATTTTGTATATTTTTTTAAACAAAAATATATCTTTATGTATTAATTCTATTATAATTGACTTTTGAAGCACATACTACATTGCGAATATATGATCGGAAAATTGTTAAAAACAATTATGTGTGTTTCATTGAAAAAAACGAAAGGTTTGATTAATATTTCTTCGAAAGTTTTTCCAGAACAAATCAAATCATTTTCGTCATTGTTATTGAAAAAAAGGTATAACAAAAATGCCGAACTCTCAGGTGAATTTGAACAAATTTATTTGGATCAATGCATTTAACCCAGAAACATATAATCGTTTCAAAATGATCGTTTCCTTTTTATATAAATCAAGAGGAGTCTTCAGTTTACTCATGTGGTCACAATAGAAGGAAACATACCAACATTCTTTAGAGGTTGTGAAGTATTTACTATACCATTGTTTTCCTTTTCGTGTTTCTTTTTTTTTGTGATGATATAATCCGTCCTCATTTTTCTTTCAACATCCCAAGACCAGTTGAAAAACCATTAAATATTTGAAAAACTTGATTAGCTTATAAGAATTAAAAAGAATATTTTTTCTGCAGTTGTTTTTGTATGATAATGGGGAACGTCCACATAAAACTTTCGCCTATACTTGATCAGGTGGTAGTATATTCCGTTTGGGGTTGTTGTGGTTCAGGCAGATTTTGTTTGTCTTGATTTGATTTTCTATATGTATTTACTAGATTTGATAATCGGTAAACTTGCGTTGCTTTTATTTCTTTCCTTCCCTCGAAGTAGAACGGAGTAGGAAGAAGAATACTGAGTAGACGAACATTTATAGGGACTCAGTTTTAGACCCGTAGAACGAAATATTTGAATAAGTGTTTATAAATTTGTTTTATTTTTGCTCAAATGCCTCAGAAAATACCAAAATGATAACAATGACTTAAATTTGAGTCAATATAACATTTTGTCCACGAGTAATTGGCAAGGTTCCGGTGACAACAAAAGTTCCATCGGTAAATCCAAAATGCATATGTCCCAAACCTTATGTTAACTGCTGTGTAACGGTTAAGACCCTGGAAAAATCCAGATGATAAATCAATAGGCTATATATAATTTGAAACATATATGAGACTGATTCTGTAAATCTTTTTAGTTTGGAATAATATATTTTAACTGATTGGTACACAATTCAAATATCTAACATCACAACAAAACCTATATTGTGATGAGGCTGCATCATTTTTTTTTATCATTTGACCTGCTAGTATGCACCTAGTGTAATGATTCCTTATTAAAGGAATTTATCTAAATGTCTTTGCAAAACTTCTCAATCTTTTATTTGGTACGATGTAATTTTATGTTGAGCATAAGATGAGAATCGCTGAGTTTATAAAAATAAGGATATGTGGTATGATTGCTAACGAGACAACTATCCACCAAAGTTCAAATGAAGTGGATGTTAGCAATTATAAGCAACCGTAAGGCCTTCAACAATGAGAAAAACCCATACCGTATAGTCGGCTATAAAAGGCCACTACATGAAAATATGAAACAATTCAATTGAGAAAACTAACAGCCTTATTTATAACAAAGAATTTACGTTATCAATAGATAAACAAAAACAAAAATGAGACATGAACCAACGACAACCACTGAAATACAGGCTCCTGACGTGGGACAGGCACATAATGAATGTGGCGGGGTTAAACATGTTTGTGAGCGCTCAACCCTCCCCTAACCTGGAACAGTGGTGTTACAACGCAACATAAGAACAAACTTTAAAAATCATTTGAAAAGGGCTTAACTCATCAGATCGATCAAAGCAGAAAAACATCTAAGAAAATTATCTCATCACTTTTCCAGAAAGTATATTTAGCATGTTCACCTCTCTGAATGGAGAAAAGGGCTTTATATATGAGCTGCAAAAATAAATTTACAATCAGGCTAACCAAACGACCATTTAATCAAATAGGAAAACTTTTGTTAGATAAGATTGTGTGGAACTGTAGTAAAAAGGGGTGGAAAAGACAAAACTGAAAACCGAATCAAAGGGACCATCAAAAGCATGTAATTTATCTAAAACATCCAAAGAATTTTTCACAGTCCAAAAATGGTTAATTCAACTATTTTCAGTAGTAGAACACTAACTAGAGGCCTATATGATTTTGTTTTGGATACAAAATTTCTTTTTTGTCATACAAGTAGTTAGTCAGCTGCGTTGTTGGGCGTTTAAAGATTCTGGGATACTAAAGTTTGATGAAAACACTGTTAATGTTCCATCTGTAAATCAAATTGTTTTTCTTTGTTTACATAATCTGCTAATTTGGTTCAATTTGTACATTTTGAGCAACAGAGGGACATTCAATGTTATTAGTCATAACGTTAACAAAATCATTTAGTGTAAGCGGAAGACCGTGCCTCGCCTGCGATTGCTGCTGTCAGTGTAAAAGTGTAATGTTGACTGAAAAAGTGAGTAAATTTATCAGTAAAATACAGAATTTAGGAATGAAAATCTAAACGTCTTCTTTAGATGCTATATCTTGTTCTTGAAGATTAGCTTCTGTCTAAGTTCAAAACAGTTCATGAAGTTTTACAAATTTACCATGTCTAAATAAATTTAATCCCCGACTGTATGTAAATGTAAATGCATAAAACTGAGCCCATATCTATCAGTAAATACTGAAAATGAAAAAAAGGCATTTTTCAGTTTTGCTTCAGACATTATTTCTTAATCAGAAATAAAGCTTCTGCCAAAGTTTCATCAAATGATATGAAGGTTTGAAAAGTTACTCATTGTTTAAACAAACTTTAACCCCAGATTCGATCTTCTTGTTAACCGCAAAAAAAAACTAAGTCCTTTTATGAGTTAAATACGAAAATATGCACAAAAAACAAATTTTCATTATTTGCTCTGTCCAACTTAAGTTAATTTCTATGAACTTCAAGGTTTTATAACTTTGACAAAGTTATATAAATGAGTAAACAAGAGTGCATACGCTGAAATGTCTTGGCCGCTTTACTGACCATTGATTTTATACTGAAAATCTCATTGATAAAGATTTTAATACAAGTATCACATAAATTAAGATTTTTAAAGATCCATGACAATGAGGTTAAGGTCAGATAAATCTTATCAGACAGACATGTACAAGTTACAATTATTCCATACACCAAATGTAGTTGACCTATTGCGCACATGTATGGTAATTGAAAAGCAGACCAAAACACAAAAACTTAACATTGACCAATGAATCATGAAAATGAGGTGAAAGTCAGATTATACCTGCCAGACAGACATGTGCAGTTTACAAGCATTCCATACACCAAATATAGTTGACCTATTGCTTAAAGTGCTTGAAAAATCTAACACTGAGAAATGAACCATGTAATAAGGTCAATATAAAAATAAGGATATGTGGTATGATTGCCAATGAGACAACTATCCACCAAAGTTCAAATGAAGTGGATGTAAGCAATTATAGGCAACTTTACTGCCTTCAACAGTGAGAAAACCCCATGCCATAAAGTCGGCTATAAAAAGCCCCGACAAGAAAAATATGAAACAAATCAATTGAGAAAACTAACGGTCAAGGTCAGATGAAAGTTGCCAGACTGACACGTACCCCTTACAATCATTCTATATACCACTTATAATTATTGACCTAACTGCTTGTAGTATATGAGAAACGGACCTAATAACGTAACTCTAACCTTGATCCGTGTGAGGTCGAGGCCAGGTAAATTCTGTCTGACGGACATATACACGTTGCAAAAAACCCATATACCAAATATAGTTATCCTATTGCTCATAATAAGTGAGAAATTTACATGACTAAAAAACAAATTGGTTTTCAAGTAGTTGCTGAACCATGAAAATGAGGCCAAGGACAATGGACATATGATATAGTTATTCATATGTCTTATAACTGTTAAAATAATCTATTTATCTGTAAAATACGTAAAAAAGAATATTTTTAAGAATAAGAATAATTTTAGGGTAAGGGGGGGGGGGGGGGGGGGGGGATTGGGGGCAAACTTAAAGTTTCGCCAAGCGGATCTGGGGGAAAAAAATTTTGAGGTAACATTATCGAAATATTCTTTATTTAGTTGAGGACAACCCATGCTTTGCAAATTTTTTTTAGGGGGGGGGAGGGGGCGCACACCCGCCACGCCCCCGACTAAATCTGCCCCTGGATACTCCTTTTTTTGTCATAATAAAAGCTTCTGTCAAAATTTCATTAAATTCCATGAAGGTTTGACAAAGTTATTGACTGAAAAACTTTAACCTGGTATCTAAATGTTAACTGTAAAAAAAAATCATTTATCAGTAAAATACTGAAAAAATAAAATTATTTTCAACATTTTGCTACGGATACTGTCTTTTGGTCATAAAAAAGTTTCTGTTCAAATTTCATAAAATTCCATAAGGGTTTCGACAAAGTTATTGGTGTCTTATTAACTTTAAACACAGACTGAACCTAAATTTGGCCAAAGCAGACGGCGACGACGGAATCTAGGATCACTATATCTTGCTTTAGCGACATAAATGTCAGAGACTCAACAAAACAAAATGATTAATTCAACGTTCAAAATCTGATAGTTCGTCATAATTGGCCCTTCTGAAACTGAAATGTTGTCTGTTTCATTAACTTCAAAAGAAATTGTTTCATCAACCTAAATACTGACAAATGCTTTAGGAACATGCATTCTTTTTTCAGTAAAAATGCATTGTTTTACATATACCTTGAAAACGAACAGATAAATATTTTAACACATTTACCAACACAAAATTATTTGTCTTTTTGCTAATGAATGCTTTCAGTAAACTTATTGATATCTGATTCAACATGTTTTTGAAAACATTTAAATAATTAGGCTGATATAATGTTAATTGAACTTCAAGCGGCAATCAAAACTGAGATATCAAGTTGAAATGGTGTTTAAGTTTTATTCTGTATCATCTGGATGTTATTGTGTTGCATTGTGCTTACAATCTGTGGATTAATTGAAGATGATGGTTCTCCTGGAACCAAATGTTCAGAACTAATTTTATTTGAACACCAGTTAGCTACAGTTGCCTCTAATTTATTGACTTGATTACCTAGCAACTTCAGCTTTGTATGCCTATGCTGTGTGGTAGTCTTACTAGTGTCCTCATATTTTTGGTGTTTTGTCATATCGTTTAAATAGCATAGATGTGTTTTGAAGTCTTAGATTTTTTGGGAGGAAATTTTGTTACATTTAGTAAGAGATCTTGTCCTAGAAACTATTTTTAACAAGAGAAATTTTCTTACGGATATCACACATCTGGTCGTTCCCAAGATCGAAGTTAAATATCCATTTCTCCATAGACCATAAGTGAAGCGTTATTAAAGCTAATGATCACACAATTTAATAGAGTTTCCTTCTTCAATAATTTGGTTTCGGCTTTTGAGATTGTCCCAATTCATGGGAGTTGAACAATTTACCATGCATCACTGCAAAAGCAACTTGTTCCATTGACTGATAGTGTCTGATTTTGTCAGTTTTTATGGACTTTTTATGGTCTTTCAACTTTTGATTCTAGCGTCACTGAAGTGTCTTTTGTAGATAAAACGCATTTCTGGCATACAAAATTATAAGCCTGGTATCTTTGACGATTTTTTTTCACATCAAAAGGAAAGAATCTGGAAACTTTAGCATCAAAGACTGATTGATTGACTGACACTCTGATTGATAAACAAATTGGTAGACTGACAGACATACTAAAAAATATCTATTCACCTTCACCTTCATAGGTAGGGAACTCATAAAATGCAAAACTCCATTCCAACAGTTTATTTAAAATGATATAAATAAAATAGAATAAATGAAGTATAAATTTTAAAAATTTTATCACCCATAGCATCTGCTTATAAGTGTTATGTACATAATACTAAACGATTAATACTGTGCTGAAATAAAATCATATCACAGACGTTTATTATAATAAAATGATATCACGGACGTTTATAATAATAAAATGATATCACAGACATTTATTATAATAAAATGATATCACAGATGTTTATTATAATGAAGGCAAAAAATCACAAAAACTGATAACAAATACAAATAAACAGCAACATCTGGTGCAGCAGGATATGACCACTATGAAAGACAATTTTTTATTCTGTCTATTTGGTCAATAGTTAAGTTTATGCATTTGAGATGCTTGGTAAAAATCTCTGCATTTTCCAAAATACTAAAAACTCAAAAACATGTATTAAAATATATCAAGTAATGTTTATCAGGTGTTCACAAGTAATTCAATTGTCAGATATGAGTACAAATTATATTAAATTGAATAACAATTAATGCTGGACTGCAAGAACTGTCAACATTGCCTCATTTTGAGATCTTTATGTTTCGATATAAGCCAAATGATGATCAATAAGATATAAAAGTAGCAGACATCTTTTACAAAGATCTTGATGTGAGTAAATTGTCTTTTTGAGTAAGATTATTACCCATTCCTAATATTTCCAAAATAACATGTGTAAAATGCGATTTGAGGCCCATTTTCGAATCATTCATGACATCACAACTGATATTTCTGCACTAAAGTGTCCATATTATATCATTCTATTCATTTATCAATTTTGAAAGGATGAAGAATTTAACTTTTTTAACAATTTCAAGTTCATATCTACTTAGAAAACAATTTCTGTAAATTATATAAATGAATATTCTTAACATTAGCAGTTTTATTCTCACCAATACCTATTCATAAACAAGCTTTGTGTAATACTTATGGTCTGTTCAAAGAAGAAGATTTTTGAAAGTATTCCATTAGAATCAAAGATTGCATCTGGCAGCTTGTTCTTTTTCAGGATTATTTGTAGGAGACCTACCATACATCATGCTAAATTTGGCTGAAAATGTCCAGTAGTTTTAGAGGCGAAAATGAAAGGGGTTTTCTATATGATTTCAATGGGAACTACTTATCTCTAATGCTGCAGTGTTTGCCAATCAAATGCATTAATTTTATTAAAGTATTAGAGAAGATGATATTGTAAAATGTTTATGGACAATTGAGATGACAAAGACTCACATATCGATATGGGTCATGTGAGCCAATAATTATCAATAGATAGCATTTCAAAAAAAAATGAACAAAGTAAAAATATGCATTGCACACGTACATTAAAAGTAAAAATTAATTAAACATATAATAGAAAAAAATACAATGACAGTTAATACATGCTTTTTCTTAACAAAGAAGTAGAGTTGTATTTAAAACAACATTGCACACAAATCAACAATAAGCTTTAAATCTTTTGTACTTCAATCAACTCTAAAGCTATTAAATCCAAATGCAAACTTTTACACTGCTCTTCTTGCGAGTACAATAATTAAAATTCCTTTTACAAATCAATTTTGTATCAGACTTTTTTCATAAAGATAACATATAATTGTCAATTAAAATATCCTAAATGTTACAAATAAAAAATGTCTAGTTAAAACTAAACAAGCATTGGCTGAATTCACAATATTAGCTGACATATTTCATTTTAAGGAAGCTGCCAGGAGAAGAGCAGTCACAACTTTATTTACAAAATAGGTATGCATTCAATAGCAACCGAAAAAACATTTACTCTCTCATCATCATTTATAAAGTCTGGTCTTCATCAATATCTTGACTGGTTAAAACTGTTTTGTAAAGTTTACACCATCTCATCATAATTCATTTTGCATAAGAGTGATTTAAAATAAAATCCTGTAATCATATTATTGTCATTGGCTTTTTCAATCTTTCTTCTCTTTGTAAAGTTCTCATCCAGGATGTCTTAATGATGTAATGTGATTGTCGAAGTTTGCACTTATTATAAGGTAATGGGAGGAAAACATAATAGAAATTGTAGGAGCATTTATAAAGAAGAACAGCAATAAAAGGACTCTAATATATTAGTTATTACTTAGAATGTCATTGTACTTTTCAACAATCAATTTGCACAATGGCCTCTAACTTTGTATGTTGTGACTTCAAAGATTAAGGATATAGATGTGACCTCTAGTAAATGTGGACAAAAACAAGCTTCAATCATTTAACAATGCTGTATAAATAATAACCATCTACACAAGGATATGTCTCACCAGTGTAACCTTATTACAAAATTGTTGTTGTCAATGAAGACAGCACCAAAAACAGCATGCCAAAGTTTCTTTCCTATGACTTACGTTGCAGGCTAGACAAAAACCTAACAAACAATTTAGTTACAAAACCTGATTTACATGTATATAACCAACAAAACAAACATATAGGTCAAAAAATAATATTCTATAACTTCAGTTTGTTTATCTAATCATTTTAAACATGACCACTGATGTATCCAAATTTACACTTCCTTTTGTATCTTTTTTATTTTTTCAGTAAATTCTGAATTAATTTTCTGTTGTGACTACTGTCAGAGACAAAAGATATACACATTTGTAATCAGCATTATTACAATTTGTCAAATGCAGATTTTTTTACTATGAATAGTTGTGGCATTTACTTTACTAAAATTATGAACATAACAGTTCAAGTGTTATCAGTATGACATATAAAATCAATAGTGTCTACATTTAAGTTTTTAGACATAAAATATTAATCATTTTTAATCAATATCAATAATTTCAACAAAAATTAAATGAAGTATACATCTGAAAATATTAACATGTTCAATTAAGTTCAAATAATTTTTCAAATCTAAATTAACTTTTGTTGTGATAATGTTATTTTTGAAACCTCAAGATGAAAATTAAATGCATACAGCTGAACCAAGTAATGATCTTTACCAAATAGGTATTTCATTTTCTGAGAAGATTTAACATATATGATCAGTTTAAGCAAATATTCAATTATATGCATAATACTTTTGTATATAATGTAACAGCTTGTTATTTGAGCGTTGATCAAGATTGTCATGAAACTGCTTTATTGAAAGCTCTCCCTCGAAATCTCTCTTGACTACTTTTAATGTCTATATCATATCTCTTAAAGTTATGTTGGCAAGAGCACTGCCATCTAAGCTGAATTCATTGCTGCGGACGCGCCTGACATTCTGCCGACGACGATTGCTTCCGCCTAGTGCCCGCCTCACTGGACGTGGTGGTAAGTTGACCAATCTGTTCACTGCTGGCTGGTCTCTGGGATCGTTGCCCAGGTACAAATCCAAAAGCTGAAATAGAAAAAGTAGTTGTTTTCTTCAATGTAATCTGTTATTTATTATAAAGCTATATCAGATTTTTGGGAATATGCTGTATTAGATTCATGTATTTGAAATACATTGTACTTTCTGAAAAAAAAATTACTCCCAAGCAGGAAATAACAGAATTCATTTCCATACTGCAATTAAACTAGGTGCTCATGTTATCTTATATATAACTAAATTGTTTGTACATTCCTGAAATAACATTCTGAAATATAACTGCTTCAATATTCGTAGATTATTACATGGCATTTTTTATATATCAGCCCTAGTATCAGACAAAGACGCCAAGGGTTTTAGCCCAAGGTTTCGATATAGGTTGAGGGATGAAACCAGACCAAGAATAAAATGTCTTGATACTAAAAAATAATTAAATAACAAACAAAACTTGGTAAATTACATTGAATAATTATAAAACTTACTTAAATTTAGGTCATTACAGTGTTTATTTATATAAACCAATATATAATATTTACTGAAACAAAATTAATATTGTGTTTATTTACATAAATCAATACATGCATATAATAATTACTGAAACAAAATTAATATTGAAATTAGCAGTACAGCTCAGCTTAATTTACCAGTAGTACAAAAGTTCTACACTAAATTATACACATAGTTTAATCAGTATCAGGAAAATGAAGGCTGGAACCAAAAAATAGCTTGTGAAACTAATTCTGATGACAATTGCATATGAATGAATTAGATACCAAAAATGATATAAGAAAGTGTTCTAGTGAAAACTGAATAATCCCTATCTACATGAGATTGATAGTCATGAGTTAGTATTCTGTACTATTGTACAAATCACTTTTATGAGAGATAAAATTGCAAGATCAGCAGAAAAGCTCTAACTTTGGCTATTAAAATTACCTTTTACTACCTGAGAATAATTTCAGCTTTAAGAAAAATACTTATTACACAACATAATTACATGTAGCAATTTTTAGGATAACTAATCTAAGTCATTTAAGAAAATAGTAATCTAAATAATTTTTTTCTATTGTTATTTCACAGAATTAATAATTAGAGAAATGCAAGTAGAAATATCAAGAACAGTGTGAAATTGAGAAATTACAGAAAAACTGCTGTTAGTTAGAGATATTGTTACAATAGTGCAAGCATGCAGGAATTGAGTATTCTCTCATACCTCGTCTTTTTTAGTAGACTGAAATTCCTGAAATCATATTTAATTAACAATCAGAATATTTTTTGAAAGATGTATTTTTGTATATGTACAAGTTTATGGTATTTTGATAACTAATTACTTAGCAGTTTTACAATGGAAACATTTGATACAGTAAACGGAAATTTAAAAGTTTTACCCAATTTAAAAGATGACAGGAAGGGTTAATTCATATTAAATCATTCATTCCTAATTGGAGGTATTGTAACATGTTTATGAAGCAATAGTGAGTTTTCTCACGTTCCTTTAAACTGACTTCTATTAAGGCTATCTTCTGAAATCTAAAATATCTATAATATTGGTACAATAAAGTGATGGAAAATGACCAAATTGTTTCATTACTAATTTTAACCAAAAAAAGAATAATTGTTTGGTAAAAAGTTATTGATGTGACATTTTGCAAAAATAAAATATGGATTAATTTATTTATTCTAAAATTATGCTCTTCCTTCACTTCATAAACAAAGCCCTTCAAAACGATTGGTTTTCTAGAACATTTTTGCTTAGTGAAATCAAAATGGCTGGCTGCCTTTACTAAATATGCTTTGTAGGTCTGCTTTGAAGTGCAAAAGTTTTGAATTTTTCTATTAGAATTGAAGTAATCTAAGTACATTTTTCACATAAGAATCATATTTGTTAACATTTAACACCTTTCTAACACTCTTTATAAAGATATTGACAAATTCAATGACTCAGTCCCTCAAGCGATAAATGTAAGTCATGTTGTCTCAAATATTGCTGACCTTTATTCTAGAGAAAATATCATAGACATATCACCATGTTTCTGTTAAATTCATTCAAAACTTAATAGACTCAGTACAAGTTAAAGCTTGACATATTGTATAGGAGCCTGTCTATTGATGTTAACTGCATGTTACCTTGTATATGATTTTTTTTATTTTTTTTTGTTGGGTTGTTGTCTCATTGATGTAAACCCTACATCTCCTTTTTGTCATGTCTATGTGTGTATGGATAGATAGGTGGGGATTAATATGTTCCAGCAATAACTGTCTGGCAGAAACATTGCAAATAAAATTGTTTACCTGTAATCTGTCTGACAATGCTTCACTGTGATGTAGTGGTTCACTCTGAATACCACCCATAGAACCTGGTGTAGATATTTCACTCTCAGCCTGTGACCATCGTCCATTATCATCTGTAATACAGTGTAGTTGTGAGGGAAGTGAGTCATGTGATGTAAGTTTAGGGTCAAATGTGACATGCAACACTGCACAAACTGTCAGTCTGACAGACATACAAAAAATACAGCAAAAATCGTAAAGTTTGAGTTCATTCTGACTCAACATAAAATTAACTTGGAGTTCATTTGTAAAACATTCTGACTGAATATGACATTGACTTCATTCACCATGGTAAAAATAGGTTGGACATTCTTTGTTCTTTGAATCATCCCTCCAACTTTTGTCTGTGCATCTGTCCAATTTAAATTTCTAGTGATGTACTGTATGTATAATTCATGTGGAAAGCATATTTTTCCTAGCTAGAATGATGCACATCAACTATAGATGTACCATGTAATTTGGACTCAAAATGGACAAATTTTCAAAGCACACCTATGACATCTATTTCTCTTCCATTTCAGTTTTTCTTTAATCTTTTAAGCACAATAAGAAATGTGTAGTTACAATGTATGTAAGAGTCCAAATTTTAAGTTACAGACAATGATATGGACATTTGCATGATAGGCTTGTGATGTTAACTTTTCTTTCTATTTTGTTTTGTATATGCTATATGATTTCTGTTAAGAATGGTTGCAGTGATAAATGCTGTTCTGAAAAAAACCATAAAGGTGAAATAAGACAATATTTCCTTTTCTGTTTCAAGATTTATATTTCATCCTATAAATAGTGCATGCATTGTATGGGTTTATAATTTCCAAAATACATAAATTTTACACAATTTTGTAAATTTCAAAATACTGTTTGATTTCTACATTGTACATAAAGAGAAATATTTCATAAAACTATGTAAATGTGCAATGAAACTCTTGATTTTTTATATTGACTTTGATGTTCCCAAGTTTCACACTTATGTACACGTCATAGACTCACAGTACCTTGACACCAGGTGTTTGAGAAGATACTGGGCTATTTGATGTATCAATAAATTTTATGTTCTGTATTAGCAAAATTTCACTTTCAGTTCAACATGTAAGGAGTAAGTTCGGTTAGGGCCATATTTGGCCCAGATTATCAAGTTCAATGTTTCAAGATAAAAAAATGTTTTAAGTTGATGAAAAGACATGTGAAAAAGTTAAACAGGACTTCTTTTGTCAAAGTTTTATTCAACAGCATTGACTTTTACATCCAAAATAGGTCACAAATAGCGATTTTGGCAAAATTTGACAAAATTATCAAGATTTTAGCCAAATTAAGACCTAGAAAACATAGAGCGCAGGCATCAACAAACTAAATATTAAAGTCAGATATGTAAAATGTCATAATAAACATTCTATTAGAATATCTTGTTTGTCGACGCATGCACTCTATGTTTCCTGTCAAAAAAATCAATGAAAATTTATCCGTTTTCATAGAATTTTCATAGAAAATCAAAATGAGTGCTATTTATGACGTCATGAATAGAACGCAAGTACTTTAAATTTCAACAAAAAAGACATATTTCCTTTCTTGTCTTTGTAGTAGCCATGATTCATTGTGATGTTGGTCGATAAATCCCAATTTGAAATTTTGGCAAGAAATAGGGGCCATTTTAGTGCCTTATCAAACCTACTCCTTTGTTAAATTTTGAACAAAACAAAAATCCTCATAAAAACCAACCCTTTGATAAATGTAGTTTTATCCAGAAATAAGAAAAAAACTTCTGCCATAATCTGTACCATGAGTGATGAAGTTTAGATAGACCGGCAGATAAAAAAATGGGGTTATACAATAAACTAATATACTGTGGATTCATTTTTATTCGTGGTATACCAATTTTCGTGGGTTTCGTGGGTAACAGTGAACCACGAATTTAAGAATTCAACGAAGAATAATCCCGAAACATGTGTTTGGAGTCGGATGTTTATTTCCGGTTATGTTATGCAGTTATCGTATAGTGTTGACTAGCGATAAACTTTGCAACATAACACGTGTTTCTATTGAAAGAAGATAAAAGTATTTTGATTAAATCAATAATAAAAAAAATCGAATATTAGTGATAAACTACTTTTTAAAATTGATTAAAACTGTTCATGGAAAATAACTGTAAGTTGTTAATAACCGTGTCATAGTTTGGATTACTGGTGATTAAAAATCAATAGGATTAAGTATGGGGATATTGCCCGTAGGTAATATTGTTTTTGACAGGAACATTTATTTTCACACCTTTTACTTATATGACTGTTTATTATACCGTGATTAGGGAAATAAGCTTTCAATCATATATCAATCATAGAGATTTTAATGCCTCATAAAATTACCGACAAAAATTTATAAATTGTAAAACAAACATATAATTAGTTGTCTCTGTCCACGATTTTAATCGAAGTTTTCAATGAACACTTTAACCTAGAATGACCAAGCGATGATTTTGATAATTTAAACTTTTTCAATGAATTCCTTCTTTTTTGTTTTATTATTGATCGAACCAAGGAGGTTATATGACATACTAAATCAAACAGAAATTCACGAATTACGTATCTGAATTTATCTTTTTTTTCAATCAGCGATCCACGAATTTACGTTTACCACGAAACGTCTTTTTTTCTCTATCCACGAAAATTGATACCCACGAAAATAAATGAATCCACAGTACTAGGGAGCATAAAATAGTCAATTAATTTTATTTTCCCTTTGTTATCAATGCACCTATCAGTAAAGTAAAGTATTTTTTGGTTAAATAATGTCATCTGATATAAATAGCTCATTACAATTTGACTTCTAATATTTTGATTTTTACATTGAATAATTCTATATCATTTATAGATATACAATAAAGGTTTCGTACTTCAAGTTGTGTCAGATAGCTTAATTCTGGTTTAATATGTTTAAATACATTGTAAGTAACTCTATATTTTCTGTAAAAATTAAGTCAACTTATGAGATTTTCTCAATTAAAACTATATTCAAAATATCAAATTTACAAAACAGTTAAACAATATATAAAGCTCATTACTGAAAGTTAAAGCAATCCTTTATTTTAAAATGTTTTCTGTCTACTGGAGATATAGTTCAAAGCAATTCATGGGCTACATATGAACGGCTTCATTCACAAATGTAATTCAAACATTTTTTTTTTACAAATATCTATATATATATCTTTGAATTTAAAGGTTCATTGGGGTTTGGATTGTTAGTGAGGTTTGTATGGGATTTTTTCTTTCAAACTTGTATTTTTTGTAAAGCATTTAAAATTATATTGATTCTAAATAAGCATGTATATCATCATTTCTATTCATCTATTTTTTATTTATATTTTTTGATAAATGTAAGATAATCTACAGTATTATTAAACTATAGGACAATATTATTCTTTTGAAATAAAACTTTGGCTATCAAATTTCATGGATAAACATATGGTGACAAATTCTTATCCGAGAATGACACATCACTTTTGTTTATTAAAATGGTGTTGTTTAAAAATAATGCCGTATAATATATAACATATATATAACATATAAAATTAAATGCCCTTATCTATTGAATATCTAGTGAACAAAAGGCATTTACAAAAAAGAAATTTCTAATCAGGTTTATAGAAAAAAAAGAGAGAAAATTCCAGAAATATGTAAGGTGTATTCATTAAACTACCTTTTCTCTAATCATGTGTTTGTCACTCTGATTAAGGGGATTTGATTCAGTATTTTCATTTACAGATGTTGTAAGGTTAAGTTAAATCTAGACAGCTAAATGTGAAAAAGGGCAATTTACATAATATCTGTAGTCTCTTGAGTCTCTCTCCAAAAGAATTGAACTGCACATGTGTTCTTCAACATTACAGAAAAAGATATCTCATATATTTTTGATGGACCAATCTATCATTATTTTTTTCTTCAAAACTTAGACAATGTCTTAACAAATCAAATTTATCATCAACACAATAAATGGGACTGGTGTGTCACAAAAACAGAATGGAGCATATCATCAAATATATTTATGGTGACCTATTATTGCTTTTTTCTTCGTCGTTTGAACTCTTGTGGATAGTTGTCTCATTCTGGCAATCATACCACATCTTCTTTATATCTTTGTATTGCATATAATTTTTGGTAGTTCGTTATTCAATATAATAGCAAAAGATTAATGATTTTAACTCAACTGATACTGATATATACATATATATATACCAATCTGAACCAGAACCTGCTGTTGTATAATTCACAATTCATCTTACGTACATTTTTGAATTTTTTCAGACAGGCGGAAACTATGTCAGTACAAAAGAATGACTTCAGAATTTGATTGATTGTTTTTTTCCCTGTAAAATCATTTTATTAGGTCTTTCCACTTTTCTGTGGAAAGACCTATTGTATTTGTTCTGATTATTATTATTATTTTTTTTTTTTTTTTTTTTCTTCCGCCAAATTTTGTTCTTGCGATAAATGTTTGTTTCGCAATATGTCGCTTAGATATTTCTCATATTGTATCGTATAGTTTATGCGCTTTTTAATTTCACCCTGCTAAGCCGAACCATTTTCTTTGTAAGAGTTATCTCCCTATTCACTGTTTATCATCTGTGTGCATCTCCTTCGTAACAAAAAAAGATATCGACAAAATTCTTTTTACAAATTGTTCGTTACATCCTCAGGAATTTTTGGCTAATTTGGATCGAAGCGATTCGATGAAATTTTATAGGAGATATCTACCTTTATCAAATAAATTTGTTGTTATGTTTTTGTTACTCATAAATTGTAAGCCGTATAAACTTAAAGTCTTTTTATTTAAGGTTCTTGGATCCTAACTTCGAAAATGAGGTCAAGGTCAAAGATCAAGGTCATGTTCTGAATTTTGTCTTTTGCTTGTTTTTGCATTTTCTCCGATATTTTTAATGTAATATATTAAAGAACAAGTGCAAAATGTTTGTTATATTGTGATGAAGATATGATAAATTTGGTCTGAGACAATCCAGCGACATCTTATTGGAGTTATTGCCCCTGAAATGTTTTATTTTAAGGTAAATTGATTATTACTTCATATTGGTACATGATAAAGCCATAAGATCTTTTGCAAAATGTTGGGTGACATATGACCTTGAAAAATGTCAACCGGAAGTGACCTTGAGTGAACCGGAAGTAGTCATTTTAGCACTTATTTCAGGTAGAAGTACATAGAAACCATATATTTTTTGAATGGTCATACATTAATCTATCATTTGAGACCGGAAGTGATATTTTATAAACCGGAAGTAGCATATTATCTCCCTTTTTACAGGCAAAAGTATATATAAACCATATATTTTTGGAATCAGTGTAAATAAATCTATCATATGAGACCGGAAGTGACATTTTCTAAACCGAAAGTAGCCAATTATCTCACTTTTTACAGGCAAAAGTATATATAAACCATATATTTTTGGAATCAGTGTAAATAAAGCTATCATATGAGACCGAAAGAGACATTTTCTAAACCGGAAGTTGTCAATTATCTCCCTTTTTACAGGCAAAAGTATATATAAACCATATATTTTTGGGATCAGTTTAAATAAATCTATCATATGAGACCGGAAGTGACATTTTATATACCGGACGTAGCATATTATCTTCCTTATTACAGGCATAAGTATATACAAACTATATATTTTTGGAATCAGTGTGAATAAAGCTATCATATGAGACCGGAAGTGACATTTTCTAAACCGGAAGTTGGCAATTATTTCCCTTATTTCAGGCAAAAGTATATAGAAACCATTTATTTATTGAATCAGTATGAAGAAATCTATACTTTGACGTTATTAATAACTTTGAGTAAACCAGAAGTAGCTTCCTATCAATTATTTAGAAAATTGATGTGGAAAGACCTTCAATTGTTCTTTGAACAATTGGTTTTTAATTTTAAAATAAAATCCTAATTATTGTGTAAGATATAACGGTAGACTAAACAAGACATGTCTTAACATAACTGAAAACCTTGTTATTTGTCTCAACAGTTTGGAACATTGATAATTGTTTAAACAATAAATGATCAAATTGGTCTCAAATTACTACCATTGAGATTAAATGCAGTGTTAAAAATAAAATTGAAGATATTATGTCTGTTAAGTGAAGCATACAATCATTCTATACATTAAGTAAATTTAGATCAATAAAGTAACAAACTGTGTAAACATATAGTTGTAAAAGTTATAAAGACTTGTAGCAATGTGCATGTCTGCCTCTCACCTATCTTTAATTACAAATGAAAACCTACAAGCTTAAAACAGGTTTTCTGCAGTCACTATTCAATAAATAATTTCAAATTTCTTACCTTCTTAAGAAATGTTATCATTGTTGTCGATATACACATACACAAGATAATAAATTTTGAAATGTGACTAAATAAGTAAAGAGACAGAAATTATTTTACACACAGACAGTTACAAAGATAATACAAATGTATAAAACAAAGAACTGACAACAGCAAAATACCAACCTGGTCGTCTGGTTCTAGAAGGTCGTCTAACAATTTCTGACTGTGCAGAGATATTCCTATGCTCATTTGTCGTCTCTGTCATAGCACTATTTCTGGGAGTGATGCGTAATCCCTGTAAACTTCTCTGTGACTGTGATCTGGAATCTGGAGTTGATCGTATAGATGTTAGTTCTATTGAATTTGCTCGATTCGGTATATCATTATCTAAAGGCAATTGAAGTCTTGGCAGTTTTTGAAAGAATTGCTTATTTTGAGAATCATTATAAACTCCCTTTTTAGAATGCGCATTAGCGTCTGAATCTATTCCAGGCACATTTTCAAGATCTGATTCAATTAATGTCGGTAAATCCCTACCAAAAGGTGAACGCATTTCATTGCAACTTCTCATAGAATTACGACTCCTTTGAGGTGTCGATTGTGCACTCCTATTTGAATCAGGTCGATTTTCTTCATTTAACATTGACAAATGACCAAATATTGAAGAATGTTTTAAGTTTTTATGCCCTATGGGCAGTTCACTGATACTTTCAATCTGCGGAGAATTATCAGTCCCTGATTGGGCTGTTATTCCGCCATTGTGAGAATCAGAATTCTGCTGACCTGAATGATAAGATCCTGGCTGGCTTCCAAAACTGGACACATGATTTTGTAAAATCTGTCTCTGTGATTGTGTGCGATTCAACAACCGGTTACCTGGGAGATGACTACTAGAGGTTGCTTCTGTTTCATTTTCATTTGTTCTGTAACAAAAAAGACCGTAGGGATCTTGTGGTCTTTTAAATTTTTTTTGTGCCAGTGCAAATAAAAAGAGGTGCAGCATTTAATTTTAATACACCAATCTACTTCACATTTCCTTTTGATAGTAATTATATATATATTATTAATAAATAATATTTTAGTTTTTGAAAAACCAGTATATCAGAATATACTTTTCTGACCAAACTAAGCATTTACAATTTGGTAAGTCTAAGAGTCATTTAAAATTCAATTGAGACTTTCATAAAAACTTTGTAATTTCAACTCCAAAATATTATTATAAGAAGTCTGTTAATCTTGTGTTATTCAATGTTTTCTTGTAGAGACCACATCTGAAAACTGGACAAACATATGTTTTTTGGAATAATGAATATAATATTTACCTTGGTCCAACAGAACGTCCATCTAATGTAAAATTGGCCCTGATTTGGCTTTTTACATCAGCAGAATTAGGGGTACTACCGTCAGAAAGTCTTTGAGGTTTGACTATTGGTCTACGAGCACCTTTGGAGCTATCTGCTTTGGGTTCATTTTTTCTGTCCTGACGTATAATACCAACTCCTGGCAGTATTAATGATAGATCTTCTTGATTGCTGGCCCCTTCTTCTTCTTTCTTAGTCCTCAGTGATCTGTGATAATCAAGGATTGTAAAAATTGGTCGACAATGATTTATACTCAAAACAAAATGATATACGTGATTTACAATGAATAGGGCGTGAAATATTGATGCTACAGGAGGCATCAGATTTAATGTCTCTAATCCAACCAGACATTGCTGCGTATTTATACATCAGACACAGACACACACACTTCACACTTCAGCAAGAGTTTTACTGACGGAACAAAGAAAGTATGAGTGACCATATTTCTATACTCCAGTTGACCTTGGGGTTAATTAAAAATTAAAGATTTAGTTGATCCAAAGGATTATACTCAATTGCACAATTTTCAATATCTATATGTAGTCTCCTATTTAACAAGATTTTGTTTCACATCATTTTTTGCACCCATTCAATATTAAGAAGAAGATACTTTATCATGATCTTTTATGATTCTGTACTTACTTAGTCTTTCTTTCTTCAGCTTCAGCTTGAGCAGTGACTGGATCCCAAACCACCTGGCCATCAGCAGGACAAGTAGCATGTGAATGTAATAACCAGTTGTCTATACAATCCTTGTGAAACTGCAAAGTTATCATTATATACATTAAAGCAAAATTTAATTTCAATATTTCTAATCGATTTTTGTGTTGGCCCTTCTTATAGGAAAAAAGTTACATTATATTAGTTAAAGTTAATAACCCCTTCTGTAGCACTGTGTATTACGAAATTTTCAAAATATCAAAACAGCAAAAATGTTGAATAAAAGAGACATACCATTTTGTACATATTTATCAAAGGGAAATGTCGTTCACAGAAATTATATATTCATTGTCTAATTGCATTTAGTACAAAATGTGGATTCTGTGTCAACTCAAGCCAAAATGTTTACAGAAAATCCACATCTTTTATAACAGATACTTTTGTTATAAAATTTTAAACCTAGATTATTCAATTTAATTTATCCATGGTGTGCTAGCGTTTATTGTTTACAAAAAGTCCTAAACAACTGTTACAATCCAAAACATATTTGTACTTGTTTTAACTAATATCTCTATTTAAAAACTTTGTTTTAGGAAAATCATTGCTAGAACTGCATGCAATAATCCCCGTTCCATTTAGTACATAACTGTCAAATATAAGAGTACACAGGGAAAGGCTGAGGATTTCTTTAAAATTTCCGTGTTTAGCATTGAAACAACAAAATAGTACATAATCCTTAAATAGCAAAATAAGAATCTATGTCTGTAATATTTTCTCCTTTACTTTTTCTTTGAAAACACACAAAACATTTTAAAACTTTACTTGCAATCAATAGAACTTATCAATTTTCTTTATAAATGTAACATTTTTCAAAGAGATAATGACATGTCCTATATTTGAAAAAAAGAGTAAATCTTTACTGATTCTTATGGCCCTGATAGTAAGTATGATCTTAAAAGTTAAGATCAGATAACTCTGTCAAGCCTGAAGGTAATCAGCAAGTGGTACATAAACAAACACAACATTTATCTGAGAAATGATTTACCTTGTGCTTGCATCTAGGCAACTTCCTTATAAACTGTCCTACTTCATATCCACGAAGACAAATTCTACATTGCATCCCAGGCTGTAGTAAATTGGAACTATCTCTCACTTTCTCCAAAGGAAAGGAATTTATTACTTCTTCAGGGATATCACTTCCTATATTGTTACTGTAAAAAAATAAATCAACATGTTTATTTTGAAAAAGAAATCCCAATACATTTTTGTATTTTGTTTGTTTGTGGAATTCTGCTATGTATGTTCCTTATGTTCCTTATGTCCTAATAGATTATGTGTATATTGTAGTTTAAATCAATAAGTTTCAAAATGTTGTTGACAAATTTCTTGTAAATATCTAAAACACACCTCACAACTACATTACAGGTATCGTTTGTCTAACTCTAAATAGAAAATCCAAGTTTAAAGTTAAGGTAAAAAGAATTGAATAGATAAAAGAATGTACTTTTCAAGTTGCATCAGTAATTCAAAATCTTCCTCAGTGATATCCCTATTGACTAGCTGGTCTGCTACTGCCTGTGGTAACATGGCTCCATATGTTCTCTGTGCTGGTCTCCATCTCTGATTTCTTTTCTGTGAAAAATTACACAAACCATTTCAAACGTATTACTGTAAACACAGTGTAATCTCTGTGATTTGCATATTTTGTTTTTGTTTGTTTGTTGAATTACATGACAGCAAATCTTATTGCAGAAAGCAACCAGAATGTTAAAAATTAACCACCAACCTTCATCAGGTAATTAAAAAAAAAAACTTGTATACTTTGGCCAAACATTGTTATACAAAATGTTCGTTTCTTTTTTCTTAATCTCCTATTGGGTTGTTGTCTCCTTGAAGTACTGATCGCATATACTTTAATATTCATGGATAAAACTGTCAGATTATAATCATGGTACACTATTACATTAAATTTCCAAGTTTTATGTACATCTATTCAACTTAACAGGTTTCAGAGTTTTTTTGATTTTTTCTCACTGAAGAAGCAGTTAATTAAATAAGGTCAAGGTCACTGAGACATTTTTTTCAGTTTCAGTAAACTGTTACTTACATGTCTATAATCAAATGGATGTTGTGTATGTATCTGTGTATTAAAGCATGTCTGACAAAGATTGTATTCAGCACATATACTGCATCTGAAAGCACATGCATGTAAATTGTTATTTGATAATTTAGTAACATGCCAAGTAACAAAATTTCACTTTATGTATAAAATTCTACTTGGAATAGCTATAATCTACATCAAGATGATTGAAAGTAATGAAATAGTCCTGATAGGATTGATCATGTTAAAAAATTATTTATTAGTAAATTTAACCTGAGTTTATTACCAAATTTTAATTCATTTACACAGTACATACAATACACATATATATATTTATTGTATGCATAACTTTATTAAATAATGTGTAAATCTAAGACGTAAATTCAAGTATTAAACAATGCCATTCTTAAAAATTGATAATTGCATTTTTATAAGGTGTCTGATTCATTGTTTATGTTTCACTAAAACATTTTATCCTATACATTTTGAGATATATTACAATTTGTTGAGATATATTCATATGTATTCAAATAATAATTTAAACAAAGATTATCACATTACTCAATTTACATTCCATTACTTTTTTTAATAATGAATCAATGAGATAATTTTTTAGATTCATCTATATTTCTTCATGTATTATCTACCTGTAACATTTTCCTTCTATTGGAGATGTGCGACAACTTTGACAACTAGTACCAAGATGTCTGTCCATGCGACCACCTTGTTGGACTCCCATGGCGTTACGACCTTCTTGCTTCAGTAATTCTAATGGACCAAAATCTTCACGACAGAATGGACACTTAATTATAGAATCTCCAGTGGTCTTCTGATGTTCTGCATATATCTTCATACATTTTATGTGGATACTGTTCCCACACCCAAACCTTTGAAAATGTAAAAAATAAAATTTAGAAACACAAGATATCTGCTTTTAAAAATAGATATAGTTTGTAGAAATCTCCAAAATATTAAAAACATTTGCTTTCACTTTGGCAAACTTTAAATTTCAAATTTAAACAGTGACATATATAGCTACTTTTTATAGGGGTCTGGGAATTGTATTAGAAGAAATTAACTGAGTTTCTCTATTCTTATGTATTTGAAAAAACAATCCTAGTAGAAGAGAAATTTTGACCCATGATTCACTGCCCTTTACTTCATAAACACAAGGCATATTTAGGGAATTGTTATTTTCTCTATGTAGATTAGCATGGCAGGTGATGCTTGAAGCAGGAGACACTTACCCCAAATTTCATACTATTTTTTCAGTTTTTGTTTTTTAATATGATTTTTATGTTCTTAAATGTTTTAAGAGATTTGAACAACAGTAAACTATATAGCTACTGTTGCCTCTAGTTTATGTTTTCAACATTTTTACAAGATATTTCATTTTCAGGCAGTACTATTCCATGAATATCTTCATGTACACATATATATATATATATATATCATGTCTACAGAGTATAGTTAAGAATGTGTTTGGTATACAAAGGATTGTCCAATTATAAGATTAAATTCATAAGTATGATATACATTATAACAGCACATACTTGCAGTATGTTACAGGAATATGTTTATTCAGAAGTTCATCTTGACAGATTGGACAACAATCGTCATCAGTGATGTCTTTCTGTCTGATGGTAGGTCGGCTATCAGTGGCTGTGGTGGTAGAGGTTCCAGATGTGGACCAACGTCTTACTGGTGGTTTAGGAGGCTGTTTATTAGCATGTCCATGTAGAACCTCATTCAGCTCTCTGTCTACAAGGCCCAGTTGCCATGATACTGGAAATATATTACATTAATAGACAAAATTGTTTTGCCTGGCATAGTATCAGCCCTAGATTGACATGTTGCTGCCAAAAACTGATTAATTTTCAATGAATTAAAAAATTGACAGGAATGCAGGAATTAATAAAATATCTGTTTCTTATCTTTAATTTTCATCATTTTAAAAGTAAAGTAGTTAAATGAGATTGAACAAAAGTCTTACTTGGATTATTCTGAGTCACTCTAAATTTCTTTAATATAAGCCAGCACAAATGTCTGCATAAATCTCTATCCTTCTGAAATTGGGTACAAGTGCATTTGTGGGGATCTCCCAAGTATGCCTGGAAAAAACAATGTAAAATTTATATTGTTAGTTTAAAATTAGTATAATGTACATATCAATAAATGCAGCAAAATAGAACCTGTTAAAAAAATATTGGTTTCACTTAAACATGTACATTGTACTTTGTATAGATTGAATCTTTAATAAACTAGTTAATTCCAGGATAGTTTTGTGACTACCACTGATAGTAAAGTAGAATTATCTGAGTATCATATGGTGTAATTGTGAAATTACATGTCATTTAGTATTCAGTTTAGGAATAAAGAAATACAAGCACCTTAACTGGTTTTGTTTCTCCCTCTTCCTTCAATAAGAATCCAGTAGGGCCTGTTTCTCTTAAGATGTAGATGGTAGCATTGAGTGCCTGACATTGTCTCCAGAATACCAATTCATTGCAAGTCTTCCTCCAGGCCACACTCCTAGACATTCTATATAATTATAAGAATATGCTAATTAATACCTGCACTGAGGTTCTGTATGAGGTATTTAAAATACTACTTTGCTTTAGAACTACATTTTGTAATTTAATTTGCTATACCAGTGGCAGCAGCATCCCATGGATGCACAGGTTTCTGATAAGGCGTGTCCAGACAGAAAATCATGTGTATATTACGCATGTATGCCCCTTAACTAGAATCCTGCTAAAAATATCATCAAATATTGCATTATCATTCTGGAAAAAAGGCTCACCAAATCCTTGTGTTATTGCAAACAAACAGCAAAAATAATTAAATATACTTAAGAGGTTTCAACATATAAAGCCAAATGTGCAATGAACCTGCACTCTATGATTTATCCTTTTCTAATCTGAGCTTTTTAGCTAATCCTCTCGGGTACAAAGTCCTTTTTTCAATCTTTTTCACAATGTTCATGTTACTTTGGTCCTGAAACTTTATATGACAGAATTATAGTTCACCAAAAGGCAAAAGAAACATGAATGCATGCATAGTCATGTAAATCATTCCCCACTCATAGTTCACATACATGTTTAAAGTGTAATTTTCAATAGTTTTGAATGAGTATATATATATATGTGTTTAAATGTCATTTTAGCTCATTTTGATTCATGTTTTGAGGCATCTAGTTCATATAATAGAGTATTTCAAGAGTCAGTTCAATACCTCTCATGGAGGAAATGCCCCATAAATCAGGAAAGTTGGCAGGTCTGTTTTTTTCAGTTTTTTTATTTACAAAAGTTGTGGATAATGCACATCACTGTAAAAATCTGCTTTAAACAATATTAGTCACTTTTATTTTTTTTTGTTCATTTTTGTTTACTTTGTCTCCCTTGGGTTGTTTTTTCTATTCATATTTTTTCATATGGTTATATAAATGTTCACTTTGCATTTCATCCTGTATACTTATTTTATTAATTAAATCATTGGTGGGAATTTAATGAATAATAGAAAATGTTGACGATCAAAAACTGTGTCTTAGACCTGGTAAAGTATATAACTATTATATCCCAGCTTTGACACATATTCTAATATTCATTAGAGAGACATTTATTTGAGTATTTCAAGATTTCATTATCGTATCAAAAAATGTTATTTTCTTAATCAATTTAATGTAAAATATTTATATTCAAATCACTGATGATGTATCAACCTAAATGAGTACAGATGATTCTGCAGTATAAAGCATTTATGTTAATTATGATTTTATAAGAAGAAATTAAAGTTATCAAGACTATAGAATATATGTATAATTATACTAAATCCATGTATTACAGAAGTTAGCACGATCAACAATTATCAGCAAATGACTTACTTTGATCTGATTAAGTCTTTCAACTGGATTCGGCAAATCAAACAATATTTCTGAATTTGAGTTGTTTTTATAACTTGTAAGAAAAAAGTGTATGTGCATTAGCTTCGGGACCAGCTTGTGTGTAACCAATTGTTATTGCGCCAGTTGAAGAGATTATTAAGATCAAAGTCAAATAAAATTGCTGATTAATGTTGACTCATGATTGTACTAACTTCTGTAATATGTGTTTATATTTATTCTTGATATAACTGCTAATAAAAAAGTAATCAACATGAACACTCATTGAAGGCAAGGATTTCTATACAAATCCTTGTTGAAGGTGATAAAATGATTTTAATATAAATTATTTTACATTAAAACAAATAATATATTATAATTATATATGAAAGGTGAATGTAAACATTTAAAATATCCAGAAAAACGATATTCGAATAAATGTCTCCTTTGATAAAAATTATTTGAATATGCGTCAAATGCACAATTTTTTATCATTCACCTTAAAGTTTGATGTTGTTCATAAAATTCAAATACATAAAATCTTTATCCCTTAATATGAATATTATTTAAATTGGGGCAAGAACAACTTTAAATTTGGGTTGAATCGACTTGGGATGGATCAACATGAAAGCTTGCAGATTCCAAAAGAGCGATAATATGGTTTTAACGATTACGGGAAGCAGAAATTTGTTCAGTAGACTCTATAACCAGAAGCTTGTGTTACTCCATACATGAGAAGAGAAAAACTCTGCCAGATACATCCTAGGCTTTAACACTGTTTAAGGGTTACCAAACTCATAGTTAAAAACTGTAAAAAGCTGTAAATTATGTAAATTTTAACTAAATTTATAAATTATTTTAATATCTAACTATTAAGGTTCATGTGGACCCTTTGGCTAAAATGGCTGCATTTTCACCTCAAAATTTACTCTGAGTATAGACAAACATGTGTATCAGGAAAAGTTTTAAGGCATAGCATGCTCTAGATAAATAAAATTCAAATATATTTTATGTTTTAGAAAATTAAAAACTTAACAGGATTTTGCAGTGCACTTTTTTTCATTCATCCAGATGGTACCAAAAAAAACTAAGTTGTGAAAGAGGTTTGAGAACTTCCCCACAGGTAATAATTGAAGTGAACTGTATTGATTGACATGGACAATAAATGAACAATAGATACCTGACAATAATTTGTGATTTAAACTGTGTACCTGAGTGGAACATATCAAGTAAGACTCAACTGTTTGTTAATTTTATCATCTTCTGCAGGGACGAAAAAAAGTGCACTGCAAAATCCAGTTAAGTTTTTAATTTTTTAAAACATGCAATGCATTTGAAATTTATTTATCTAGGGTCCACAAGAACCTAAGGTTCTTGTGGACCCTTTGACTAAAATGGCTGCGTTTTCACCTCAAAATTTACTAAGGTTCTTGTGGACCCTTTGGCTAAAATGGCTGCGTTTTCACCTCAAAATTTACTCTGAGTACAGACAAACCTGTGCATCTGGAAAAGTTTTAAGGCATAGCATGCCCTAGATAAATAAAATTCAAATATATTTTATGTTTATGAAAATTAAAAACTTAACCGGATTTTGCAGTGCACTTTTTTTCATTCCACCAGAAGGTGCCAAAATAAACAAAGTTGGGAAAGAGGTTTGAGAACTTCCCCACAGGTAATAATTGAAGGGAACTGTTTTGATTGACATGGACAATAGATGGACAATAGATACCTGACAATAATTGGTGATTTAAACTGTGTACCTGAGTGGACCATATCAAGTGAAACTATACTGTTTGTTAATTTTATCATCTTCTGCAGGGACGAAAAAAAGTGCACTGCTAAATCCAGTTAAGTTTTAAATTTTCTAAAACATACAATGCATTAGAAGTTTATTTATCTAGGGCATGCTATGCCTTAAAACTTTTCCAGATGCGCAGGTATGTCTGTCCTCAGAGTAAATTTTGAGGTGAAAATGCAGCCATTTCAGCCAAAGGGTCCACATGAACCTTAACTAATTAACCAAATTAATTGTGTTATTGGTGGAAGAAAACAGACATGTTAAAATAGTGTAACACAGATAAAACACAATGACTGGAAAGAAATTCCAGGTTGTCATGATAGAGGAGGGATCTACAGAAGGTAACAGACTGTAACACTAACAGTAACAGGGCCGATAAAATAAAGCTTGTTCCAATGAAAGGTGAAAATTTCTCTGGTAAGGTAAGGTTAAACTTACATTTTATTTCTAAGTTCTAACAACTTATGAATCGTCGTGTTGTTGAGTTGTTGGACATGCAAATTCAAAACCTATCTTTGGTTGTTCAGGCATCATCATGAGGATTACATACCAATCTAATCGCCATATTGTTTACAGCCTCGAATTGGAATAACTAAGAGGGAGATCGTACTCGGCAGTTAACTGCGTACAATAATTTTTGAGAACAATGAACCATTTGTACAGTAGCCAAATACCAAAAATAAAGTATTGACCAGGAGTTCTGTAATATTGAAGGTTTCAAGTCAAAACTTATGGTAGCCTCAGAGGGACATCCATTTAGGGACGATAAGCTGTATAAATATAAGAACTGCACGGACAATAACAGTAAGGGGACAACCATTTCATATTCTGGGGAGGGGGCAGGAGGATTTTTTGCGGATTTATTATTCATTTTAATCTGTCGCTAATTATGCATATTTTTTTCAACTCTCACCTGGCTACCATATTCATATTTAAAATCCTCTTGTCCCCCCCCCCCCCCCAAAAAAAAAACCCAACTATCAAATAGACACAAAGCACCAAAATAAGAGTATTTTGCAGTTACTGAAAGTTTGTTCAAAGCTAATTACAAGTAACACTGAAATAAATCTTATTTACCCAGACTAAAGTATCAATCAGTACACAACCAACGGATATAGTCATAAACAGTCTGAGAAACGCCGTGACCTTGTATACCTTGTGGTGGTCCGAAGGTTTTGACCATCGAAATTTTGCAATAGAAATAATAGTAAGGACCAGCAGATTTTTTTCAAGGATCACCAGGGGAAATATATTTTGAGAACTCTGCAATATCTTTGCTTTATACAAAAATAATCCAGTGTGGTTACTTTAAAAATTTTGATAGTCAAGATGTCCTTTTCCGTGAATAAATTATTTTAATTAAGTCTGCTTATTTACATTATGCATATAAGTTTATCGTGATCGTATATATTTTCACATATGTCTGAAGTTTTAAAAAAGTAAACATGTTTTACAAAATATTTTTATTTATTTTTTCTTTCGTTTTATTCCTGTTGAAAATACTCTTAAATGATAGTTATTAGTTTTAAAAATAGAATTTCAAAATATCGTTTGATTTTTAAGAACATGTATATGTTTTATTGAAATGTGTCTCATAAGCCAAATTGATATTGTGTTATATATAAAATTATATTATAGAAACAAAAAGTTTTATTTTCATCAATACAGAACCTTTTTTTACTTTTGCCTCAATCGTAAATGGGCCGAATATACTTGGCGTAGCGAGGGTGGCCGTCCAATAAATTTATAGCGCGCATTCGTGAATTAATGCATAGTTCGGCTACTCTTTGAATATTTTACTATATTTGAAATCTTAGATTAGTTCTGGGAACAGTATATCTAATAATGTCATTATATATGTTCCTGATTAGTTATACTCTATAATTGGAAATGTTTCACGCATGTATATTTAGTCAAAACTAATAATCCAAATTAAATCAAACAATTGGTTTTCATCATTCTTCATCTTGTACATATCTTTTCGTCGCTATTGCATATATGTATAATGCTTTCTGCAGTAAAATATCCAATCATTCAACAACACTATTTGAATGGGTAGACGTAACCTACTTCTTTAACGTTATATTATTTTTATATAATGAAATTACATTTTGGTTAAACAAATATTTGTATGTATTTCCTACCGTTGAAATTGTATCAAAATCCAAAACCAATTTTAAGTCAACTTAGATAAACAGGCACTAACTAAAGTAAAATTTTGGAAAAAAAAATGATGGAAATTAAGACTAAATCAAGTTAATGCAGAACATAATTCTACACACTTACTGTTAATTAACATAGCCTCCGTAAATGTAATGTCTAGAAACCAATAATATTTATTTCTTTTGTTTTAAAGATTGTATTGGAAACCAAACCGGATATGCGTTGTTAGATCTGGTCGTGTTGAATTTCATTGAACTTGTTTTAGATAAAGCGTAGTCTTTCATGCATACATGTTTTGCTTTGTACAATTTCAAAAGTAGAAAATAGATAACCAATTTATAAATACGTGTGCATTACTCGTGAATCAAGTTCATTTTTAGTGTTTTAATTTAAATAGATTCTCGGTTACATGTATCAATTATGTATTTACATGAACATTAACTGCAGTTTAAGAAACCCATGATCGAGGGAACAAGGTGACCCGATGAAAACAAAAACTATAGTAGAATTAAAGTTGAAATTAATGGCAATTGTTATGTATGAACATTTAGATGTATCATTTAATTATAATTCAACAATTTGATATTGATATTAGTGCTACTTGCTATCTAAAAAAAAATGAAAACTTGGCCCAAAATCTAATATCTAAATACATTTTTAGATTCAGCATATCAAAGAACCCCAAGATTTCAATTTAAAAAAAAAATAAACTAAGTTTAATTGTGGACCCTTTGGACTTAATGTGAACCAATTTGAAAACCGGGCCCAAAATAAACAAAATCTTAATACACGGCTAGATTCACCATATCAAAGAACTTGGAGAATTTATTTTTTGTTAAAATCAAACTAAGTTTAATTTTTGACCCTTTGGATCCAAATGTGGACCAATTTAAAAACGGGGCCCAAAATCTAAAATCTAAATACACGGTTATATTCAGCATATTAAAGAACCCCAAGAATTTAAGACTTTGTATTAAACCCCATTGCAATTGGTCAATAAATAAGCAATTGATACAAAGTATTAGAAAGTATTGTTTTTTTGTCCCTTTTTGCTCCTAATTCCTAACCGGTGAGGGCCATAACCCCCAAAATCAACCCAAACCTTTCTATTTGGAATGAAACTTGGTGGTACAATTTCAAAGAGATCCATAGACTAAAACTAGAGTTATTGTTCGGAAACCAGAAAATCCTTGTTTTTTTTTGCCCCAAATTCTTAGCGGTTTGGGCCATAACCCCCAAAAATAAATCCCAATCTTCCTTTTGAGGTATGGAACCTTGTGGTACAAATGTCTTTGGATGACGACGACGACATCACCATACCATTATACAGCCGCAAATTTTTGCTTTCCGAATTAAAACGACAATGCTGAATTTTATACCAGTCAGTATTGTCAATATTGACAAGCCAAGTTCAGGTGAAATACCTTATTTACTTTATAGTTTAACAAGTTTTTAATCATACAGTTTGAGTCCACACAATGGATCATAAAAATGTATTTGATCCGACCCCTAAACAATCCAAGATTCTGTGACGTTGAGCACCTAATGTTGTTATACATATTAATAATCATACATATGTACTTTACCCAATAAAATATTTTATTTGAAATTACACATCCGTAAAAATCGAATAATTGAGAGTTTTGTTTTATTTTTCTCATTATAAAAACTATTTGACAATAGTCAATGCTTATTATTCGTTTTGAAATAAATGGATGCCCGTCACATATTTTGAGTGCTCATTTCTAAGTCGATTATTTTTGGACAACGTTTCCGTAAAGTTTACTCTTTTCATTGGAGGTTTTACCTGTTGATATATAATCTGAACCGTTTTGTGTATCTCAAAGTATATCTAGTTTTGTTGAAAGACATGCATTTTGACAAACGACAGAAAAGCCTATGCAATTGTTAAGTCTCTTAAGTCTTATGAGTTCCGTCGCTTTTTTTGCTTATTGGGTACTGTTGCATTACAGATATAAATTTGATGTGTTTATTCAAATCTAAATAAAAAAAAAGTTCCCCGACTGTTTTTACACTAAATCCATTGGATGTTGGATGTGTACTGATTGATATTTTAGTCTTAGATGCATGATTATTTTGTTGATAATGATCGTTATTGGCTTTGAACTAGCGGTCAGTAACTGCGAATGCTCTCAGATGTGTATTTTGTGTCTTTTCTGTGGTGGGGCTGTATAAATTCCCTACCATGTCCGCTCTGTGTCAAAGTTTTCTGCTTCGTATCGATCTGATGCCCTTTTCAACTGATTTTTAATTTGTTCTTATTTTATACTGTTACAAAACTGTCCCAGGTTAGAAGGGAAAGGGGGGTGGAACTAGCAAAAATGTTTAACCCCCGCCACATTCTTTGTGTGTCTGTCCCAAGTCAGGAGCCTGTAGTTCAGTGGTAGTCGTTGGTTCATGTTCGTCATAGATATGAGAAGATGTGGTGTGAGTGCCAATGAGACAACTCTCCATCCGTCATATTTGTTTTTCGTAAATTGTTGTTATAAATTAGGCTTTTAGTTAACTCGATTGGATTGTTCCACATTTTTCATGTCGGGCCTTTTATAGCCGACTATACGGTATGGGTTTTTCTCATTATGGAAGGCCGTACGGTTGCCTATAATTGCTTACATCCACTTCACTTTAACTTTGGTGGAAAGTTGTCTCAATGGCCATCATACCAAATCTCCTTATTTTCATATTCAAGTTTTTTTTAAATTTGATACTTTGAAAATTAAACGTTACACGAATGATTTGGCCAGTTTCATCAGTTATGGTGCGTTATCGTGTTACACTGTTTTTTGGACATGCGCTTTAATATATCGCAGATTGTTCCCAGACGGTAAAATCTTAACAGAACTTATGTTAAAATAAACCGGAACGGGTGCAAGCCAATCTCGGCCCGAAGAAAACTCGTACCATCTACATAAAAGGTAGCAATATACAGTTAGGAAAAAACTTAAAATTTATCCTCATAATCCCCTTTTCCTTGCTTTCTTACAAATTAAGTTTACTGTTTGTGTCATATATGTGCATATGTATGTAATCAGTATCTTACATAGATTTGTGATTTCCAGTATTTAAAATGGTTAAATATGAATTCTTTTTGAAATATCAATGGCAACAATCTGCATTTATTTGCTATAAATATTGCAAAAAGGGGCGTGAAGTTGTCACACATTTCCCCAAATTTTTGACTTAAAGTAGAATTTCAATTCCTTGGAGTGATACCTTTTCTAAAACTGTTTATATACATATATATCCAACTAGAGATCAAATAAAATTCATATGTTTTTCGTCTCATTTTTTCGTAAAATTGTGTCTAAATATTCATGTGAAAAAAGTGTTTGTAAACATTACATTAATTTCTGGACCTACGACCAGTCTGGATATGAAAATACAGACAGTCAACCAAAAACTAGCCCATAAGACAATCATCATTTTTTAATACATAATTTACAAGCAGTGTAAGGGAGGTAATCAAGCAGTGTTCTTTAATTTGAATTGGATTACCTCCCTTACACTGCTTTTAAATTGTCTCAATTGTCCTTTAACCAGAAAAACCCTTGTTTTTCCCCTTTTTTTGCCCCTAATTACTAAATGGTTTGAGCCATAACCCCCCAAAGTCAATTCTTACCATCCCTTTGTTGTATGGAAGTTTGTGGTATAATTTCAGAGAGATTCATACACTTTAACACAAGTTATTGTCTGGAAACTACAAAAATGTTTATTTGGGCCCCTTTTTTGGCCCCTAATTCCTATACAGTTGCGACCATAACCCCCAAAATCAATCCCAACCTTCCTTTAGTGGTTATAAACCTTGTGTTAAAATTTTATTGATTTTTATTTTCTTATACTAAAGTTATTATCCTGAAACCATCTGTCTTCGGACGACGCTGACGACAACGTGATACCAATATACGACCAAAAAATTTTTAATTTTTGCGGTCATATAACAAATATAATAAAGATTTCATTTAAGATATAGAATCACCATGATGAAGTTGAAATTTGATTGTACATGCACATTCAACCAATTACTTTGGGCACAGCACTTCATTTGCAATGCAGCAAGGTATAAAGAATTCTTTCATGGGAAATATAACATTTAATCAAACTCTATGTTTATGCTTTGTCTGGGTTGACATTATTTTGTTTTGGTTTTTTGGAAGATGAATTATATATTATTGTAATCCAAACAAAAATTGAAAACCTCCTACATGTGTTTATTAGATTCAATAAAATGCTCTGCAGGACCCAGCTAGATGCTGCAACTGCAAAGGTTGAACCCTGAACAGTTGGGGCAAGCATGGACACTACATTCAAGCTTGATACAGCTCTGAATTTGGATTGTGATTAAATATTTAACACAGCATAGGTTTCTGTCACAGAATGAATGTGGTCAAAGAACTGAAAAATTGAAATTGGATTTTACCTTTTATTGTATATTATGGTCCAATAACCAAAATCTAAATACTCGGTTAGATTGAGCATATCCAAGTACACTAATTTATTTATTTATTAATGGACCATAATATCATAGTACACCAAGAATTTAATTTATTTATATATCATGATCAATGGACAATATTAGTTAAGTTTTTTAAAAGGAGTTCGCTTCATAAAAAATATAAAAGTACAGGTTCCATCCCCGCTCTGGGAGGAAGTAAAGAATCATATCTACTCTAACATTGTTAGGGTGATTTTCTAGGCACTTTATATATATATATATGTAGCATTCTGAAAATGAATTTATACAGAATAACAAACAAACCTGTACCATGAAGTTATTCAAAAATTTCCTAAAAAAAAAAAAAAAAAAAAAAATCCAAAATATCATTCATCATTTATACAATATCTTTAAAAAATCTATAAAACTTACCTCTAATTATTTTTCAAAATATCTAATAATGAACAGTAAATTTCAAACTATATTTATCATGTTTATACATAATTTCTAAAATTAGAATATGATGCTTTTAAAATCTATCTTTAACTATGAATTTACTAACAATTTCCAATAATTGTGCAATATAATATGTCTCTGAATTTGGATTGTGATTAAATATTTGACGTAGCATAGGTTTCTGACAGAGAATGAATGTTGCCTAAGAACTTATAAATTTGAAATTTGACTTTTACCTATCATCATGATTATGGTCCAATACCCAAAATCTAAATACATGGTTAGATTCAGTAAATCAAAGAACCCTAAGAATTCAATTTTTGATGAAATCAAACAAAGTTGAATTTTGGACCCTTTGGACCTCAAAGTGGACCAATTTGATAATGGGGACAAAAATCCAAAATCTAAATACATGTTTACATTCAGTATATGAAATAAATTGTTTCACCGAGCGCAGCTGGATACGACCTCAGAGATCCAACCCTGAACAGTTGGGGCAAAAATGGACACAATATTCGTGCTTGATACAGGTCCGAATCTGGATTGTAATTAAATATTTTACACATAATAGGTTTCTGACACAGAATAACTGTAGTCAAAGAACTTAGAATTGGTTATATGATTTGAATTTATATTCAATTTTTTGCTTTTGTGCAATTGTGAATTGCCCCCCCCCCCCCCCTCCAAAAAAAAATATTTGAAGAAATTTTCTTTTTAATTTCTGAAATCTGAAATGAGAAAAAATTGTCCCCCCTTCACAATTTCTTTTTTACCCCCCCCAATTTTTTTTCCTCCCCCCTTTTTTCCCAAATAAAATTCTTTCCCTCAAGATATGGTCATAATCTCACTTTAAATTTCCAATAAAATTTGCAACCATAATTACCCATTTAAATACATCATAAAAGTCTTAAAATAGAAAATGACATACATAATCATGGCTAAAATTAATATTCCTTAATCAGCATTTTTAAATAGTAACTTCTAAAAATAAATTGACAGCTAATCACCTCAAGACAATACAACATTTCTTTATACATAATTTAAAAGCAGTGTAAGGGAGGTAATCCAAACATAACATTGTACTTTTTTTTTAATTGTCCATTAACCAGGAAACCCTTGTTTCCCCCTTTTTTGCCCCTTATTCCTAAACGGTTTGAGCCATAACCCCCCCAAAGCCAATCCTAACCATCCCTTTGTGGTATGGAAACTTGTGGTATAATTTCAGAGAGATCCATACACCGTTCCACAAGTTATTGTCTGGAAACTAGAAAAATGCTTATTTGGGCCCCTTTTTGGCCCCTAATTCTTAATTAAGTTAATGTCTGGAAACCAAATGTCTTCGGACGACAACAACGCTGACAATTTGATAACATTATACGACCACAAAAATTTTGTGGTTGTTTAAAAACTTGTGCCATGCTTATCATGCTTATGTGTCTTTATTGTTCAAAGTATATTATAACATATTATTTAAGTTTCTAGGACACCTGTGACAATTTGTAAAGTCCTTCAGCAAACTGTTTTGCATCCTCTACTCCTTCGCAACATTTCTGCCATGATATTGGAATCGAGTCAACTCCATAACAAGCCCCTGCGATAGCACCAGCCATTGTTGCTACAGTATCCGAATCTCCTCCTAATGATATAGCATAGATAATGGTCTTTTCAAATGAATTTCGGTCCTTTAAATCTGCAAAGTCTTTATGTGAACGCAGGAATGAATACACTGCCGCAGGAACAGCTTCAAATGCTGAGATATCAGCTCCTAATTCAGTGTGTACTGTCAGTAGCGTTGGTTGCTCTTCTTGTTTTAAATACGTCTTGATTAATTCTAGTTTTTCTACATATGTTTTCCATTTCTGTACTGGGTTGTCCTCTTTTTGAGATTCCTCCAATGATTTATTTGTCTCTTTTGGTTCATCTTCTACCATTTTCATCAGTGTTATAAGAGCATCTACCATTTCATCAGGTGAAAATGAACTTGAACTGTTTAATGCCATGTCTATAGCATAACTCTGGAGAATGGCACCAAGAATCGCCTGGTTGTGGGTGTGTGTTATACTTGTAACTTGTGTAACTAGCACTTTTGACTTTTCTGGGTCATTATCTTTGTATGTAAATAATGCTGCTGGAACTATTCTCATAGCACCACCATTTCCATAAGACCCTGAACCATTAAACTGTTTCTTTGCTGGTCCAAACACATCCTCGTAATCTGATTCTTTAAGTTGTGAAAAGACAGATACTACATTTCCACCATAACCTCTATCTGGTTCATCAAAGTAATTCTCAGAAAATCTTTCAGCCATGTCACTTGCATCAAATCCCTTATTGATAATTAGAGATTTTGCTACTGATCTTGCCATTGCAGTATCATCTGTAAACGGTAATATTCTGTGATCATCTTCTGTACTGTCAGTTTCAAAATTTTCTATCGCTTTCATTACTTTGTTTGGATGAATTGTTTTGGCCCACAAACTTTCAAAAATGGCACCAATACAGTCACCAACAACAGCCCCTACAAGCGCTCCCTGAAACTTTGAAAGGGTGGTAGACATGATTATGCAGTATCTTCAGTATTATTATTCCGTATCGTTAGGTCTACCTAATACCATCCGGGTAGAAATTATAAACGGTCCGAGTTGGCTTCTTATCTCTGGGCCGGGTGCGACTATTTACCCCAATATACCCAAACAAACAGTTTCCTCATAATATGATTGAATATTCATGTTATTTTAGGCATTTTAATGCGATTTTAACGACAATAATACTTAATTTTATAAATATTTTAAATTTTAAATCACTTTTTTCCTCATAACTTGTTCCGTTTATGTCAGACGCTTACGATAATAATATAACTTTTTACCCCAATATGTACCCCAATATACTCCAATAAAAAGTTTCAGTACAATGTTCATGTTTCGGAATCATATTTTAACCATATTTAATTCAAATAAACAACCCTACATGCTTTTGTGTGCATTTAGAAGCTTTTAAAACCGTAGTTAATAGTATCTTGATGAGGGTAACACTAAAGACCAGAACGCGGACCAGAACGAACTTGAAAATATACAGGTCAATTTTAAATTTCACTCCTTCAAATTTAAGATTTGTTCAATAAGATTTATGTTTTTAAATAAAATTTGAAATATTTTTCTCAAATTTTGAAATATTTTTCTCAAATTTTGAAATATTTGTCTCAAATAAAAATTTGAAAAATTTCTCCTAAATGAAATAAAATTTTCAAATTTTCTTTAAACAAATAATATTTAATCATCACATGCTCAACATTTACGTGGACCTGGATGGATCTGAAAATACACAGGTCGATTTATTCAAATTGCAATATCTTTTTAACGTTTCAATGGATTACCTTCCAATTAAAAAAATGTAAAATGAAATTTATTAAATTCAACCCTTTTAGATATTTTTTTCTGATGCCACAACTCAGACTTGAATGGGCATCAATCTTACGGTTGGATTAATTTAAACTTGAAAATTATTTATTCAATGGATTTTCTACTTATTTGGAACCTGTTAAAGACTAGGCTAGTCATTTAATCAAAATCAACTAAGTTTTAAAGAATTATATGTGTATAGTGACAAAACTTGGACCTAAACGATAACATTAAAAGACATGAAGACAAGAAATTCTAATATGTGATTAAATTTATTGTCTTTGAAGACAACACTCGGACGTGAACAGGGATAAAGAAAAGACCTAAATGTTTCTAAAAATATGCAGTAGATTTATTGAAACTTGTAAAACTCTTTATGTTTTTCAATGGATCTTCTTCAAAATTGGATTATATTAAAGAAAAAAGACTGTCGTTTTATAAAATGGAAAGACCTGAATGGTGTTGAAAATTAAAAAAAATATATATAAATAAGGAGATGTGGTATGATTGCCAATTAGACAACTTTCAATCAGAGACCAAATAATGTAGAAGCTGGGACTATTACATTAATGTTAGTGTAATAGTCCCAGGTAGAAGTTAGCAACTAATGGTCACCGTACAGCCTTCAACAGTATGCAAAACCCATACCGTATATAGCAATCTAAAAGTTAAAAAAGACTTGACTCATCAGATCGAAACAAATCACACACAAATGTATGTTATCATGTATATACACTACTTTAAAAACAGATTTTAAACATGAGAAATATCATATACCTGTGTATATTTACAAAATTAATAAATTACCTTATCTCAAATAATCGACTTCTGTGACGCTGTATATAAAATTCTTTGATTTTATATGCTTTTGACACTGTATTATTTCACAAGAATGTAGATCCGAAACTCGAAAAATATTGCAATATCTTGAAATTTAAAAGTAACGCAAAAAAAATTGGTATGAATATTCAGCAAAAGAAAGGGCCAGCTATACGTTCATAATAACCAACCAATAGATGTAAATACTAAAAGATTTATAGTAACAAGCTCAGAAATCGTTATATGCATATATTTATAAAGAGAAAACCCAAGAACATAAACATACAATTGATCTACAGTTAAAAATTTGTCACTGCATGTGTTGAACTTATATTGCGGGGATGAATTTCATTTTCTCTTTGTTTGTGATGATCCAAAAGTTAATTTTATATGAATTTAGATAAAAATATATCCCTTCAGACCATACAAAAAATTCAAGTGAAATAATATTAAAGGGTACGTTATCTCTATGTCATAAACAGTTCCGTATTCAATTGTCTATGTTTCTGAAAAATATAAGCTATTTACTATGATCTACTATGACTTGACTTTGCTTGGTTAAATATAAAAATTAGTATTATCTGGTTGCATGATAATGGTTGCACTGAATTGTCCTTTTTCATTGTATCTTTATATCTTATCCTTTATCCCTTATTTACTACTTAAATGATTACTTATTCAACTCTTTTTTTAATAAATTGCTCTTTGTCACCAATGCATATATATATATATAGATCATGTTTTATGTGTATGTTACTCTTTTATACACATCGAAGTGTGGTCAATAAAGTCGTAGTTGTACTTGTGATTTAAAAGTATACGTTAATAAAGTCGAAATGCATTTCTCATGGTATTTAACAACTTACAAGTCATCAAATTACATACAACAGCATATAAAATTGAGAATGGAAATGGAGAATATGTCAAAGAGACAACAACCCGGCCAAAGAACAGATAACAGCCGAAGGCCACCAATGGGCCTTCAACCCAGCGAGAAAATCCCGCACCCGGAGGTGGTCCTCAGCTGGCCCCTAAATAAAATTGTGTACTAGTTCAGTGAAAATGGATGTCATACTAAACTCCAAAACATATAAATGAACTAGAATTAAAAAAAACATACAAGACTAACAAAGGCCAGAGGCTCCTGACTTGGGACAGGCGCAAAAATGCGGCTTGGTTAAACATGTTTTGTGAGATCTCAACCCTCCCCCTATACCTCTAGCCAATGTAGAATAAAGAAACACACAGTGATACACACAGTAAAACTCATTTCAAAAGAAGTCCGAGTCCGATGTCAGAATAGGTAACAAAAGAAACAAAGCAAAATGACAATGATACATAAATTAACAACGGACTACTAGCAGTTACTGACATGCCAGCTCCAGACCTCAATTAAACTGATTGAAAGATTATGTCTTCATCATATGAAAATCAAGTACAATCCCTCCCGTTAGGGGTTTAGTATCATACCATCATAAAATATATGAGAAGAACATAACCCGTATCATGCCAACAACTGGTTTTAGAATAATGTGTTTATTTCAGATGCAAAGACCCTATGAGTGAATCAATATTAATACCAAAATATGCAATCCTTAATAACTTGACAACAGTATCGTAACTATATCCCTTCCGAATAAGTCTGTTTAAAGGTTTCGTTAGCTTTTGATGTGAATGCCGACATTTTTTTGCTTTGTAAAGAATATTACCATAAACTGAGATTGGATGTGAAATACCTGAACGTATAAGATGTATATGTAGTGAAATAAGAAGTATCGATGAATCTGCCTTTCATAACTGACTGTGCGGTATGGGCTTTGCTCATTGTTGAAGGCCGTACGGTGACCTATATATAGTTGTTAATTTCTGTGTCATTTGGTCTCTTGTGGAGAGTTGTCTCATTGGCAATCATACCACATCTTCTTTTTTAAAGATAAAGAGAAAGACAGTTTCGATCACAATTTGATGACCAGAATTGGACATCAAGATCCCATTACGTACCATCAGTGGGACATAAATAGACAATTTGATATTTTAGACTTTTAGTGCTGACTTTTTATGAACAAGTTATTTTTTATATTTGTATACTGTATTATTATAATATTAAATTTATCTTTCTGCTATGCCGTTAATAAATTTCTGTCCCTAAATGGGCATTGATTATTTCACTTTTTGCTAAAATGGGATATACTTTGGCGCTAAAACCTGGAAAGAAATTATTTAGTATTGAACACTCTATTTTCAGAAGAAGAAAAAAAACAAACTGTACCGAGCCCAGTCAAAAAGTCTATAAGATTTTCAAGACATTTTATATGAAGTTGCAATCGTAACAAATAAAGATAAAACATGTGTTTTAGTAAATGATATGTACATGTATCAGAGACATATAATACATATATATGTCTCTGATGATATTAAAAATTGGCGTTGTGATTCTTGGTTGTGAAGCTAACGAAAAATGTCTTTGTAGCAACATTCTCATTGTTAAATAAAAATACACATTTTTCACTTTCTGATAATAGGTTAAAACGTTCACTATTAAAACGCGTTACGTCTAAACACCACCTAGGCCGCCTTGGTGCAATAAGCTCTTGAAAATGCACTCAGCCTATGATGGAACAGTCATATAAGCACCAAGGCCATTTAGTACAATACATTTTTATATGAATAAACTCATCATAGATACCAGGATTGAAATTTTGTATTTGCGCCAGACGCGCGTTTCGTCTACAAAAGACTCATCAGTGACGCTCAAATAAAAAAAAGTTAAAAAGGCCAAATAAAGTACGAAGTTGAAGAGCATAGGACCAAAAATTCCTAAAAGTTTTGCCAAATACAGGCTAAGGTAATCTATTCCTGAGGTAGAAAAGATCATATATTTTAATTTTTATATAGAGGAAATAAGTTTATTTTTTATGACCACACATATAGGTTATCCAGTGTACATGAGTACATCCGAGCCGTTGCTTACAAGTCTTGTGTCAGAACAATCATTTGGTTTTACTCCAGGGTATAGTGCTTTCTTTTAGGTTTTATATATCGTTAATTTATAACATAACTGTGTTTTAACATTATTATAAAGTCTCTTATTAGGAACGTACTAGTGTACAGTGCTTTGCATTACATTATTAACGTTTTTAACGTTGGCATAAAAACTTCTTTGTTTTTCACGAGCAATGTACAGTTTACTATCTATATCCGTATAGTGAAAAATACTAGTATACGGATATGGATAGTAACCTTCACATTGCTAGAAAACAAAGAAATATTTATGCCAAAGTTAAAAACGTTAATAATGTAATACAAATAGACAGGAAATACGAAAAAAGATTTGAAAAACATTGATAAACAAATTTTTAGTCTGCTAACCGAGTCCCTGTGCATGACTTATATATATATATATCACTGGTGATCCGATGGATAAAATCTGTCGTAGAGTTGTAACTGGTTCAAACGTACTTATAATA